CTCATGCCTCTGCAGCTCCCAGCCATGTGGCAGGAATTCAAGCGGGTGGAGCCCTCTTCCCTCTGGAAATATCTGATAAAAACGCCTCCCCTCCCCCTTTTCCTTGGCCCAGACAGGATGTGGGTGTGGGGCCGGGGCCGGGGGCCGGGGGAGCCCCCCGAGCACAGCCCAGCTGCTGTTCCAGCCTTGCCTTGGGGCCGGGGCCTCTGGGGCAGCCCAGCACCTTCCCGGGGCTGGGATTTCTCCTGGCTGGAGCAGCAGCCTCCAAAGGATGTTAAACTCGAGCAGCTGGAAGCTTTAAAGTCTCTTTTTCCTTTCCTGATGTTCAGGACTTTCGTAAGTGTTGCAGAAGGAGTGGAGGAAGGAAAGGACGTGTGAAAATGGCAAGAAAAGAGATTTTTCTAAAAGTCAGGGTTGGCAGAAAGGAATGAAAAACATATAAAGAAGAAACATGAAAGGTTAAGTGAAAGAGTAAAGTGTTTTCATTAGGTACAAATACAAGCCAGCCTCCCAGTTCCATGCTCACTGTGAGACAAGCACAGGACAGCTCTCCATGTGCTTCATCCATCCCCAGCTTTCCAGCACGAGCTGCTCACAGCATCCTCCCAGGGGCTTGGGAGGGGCTGGGAACTGCAGAGCACTCTGCAGAGCAGGGGTGGCTGCAAACCCTTCCTTGGAAATGGGGAGGAACCCCAAGGAACCAGGCAGAGGGAGCAGCTCCAGGGATTTGGGCTTTCCCGGGGGATTTTCTCCATGGCGTTGGACCAGGCTCTGCATCCCCGAGCCCAAACTGCATCCTCCCCTCAGCACAGCCCCACACCACACCTGCAGGCTCCTGCCCCTGTCCCAGTGTGGGTTTTCCCTGTAAAACCCGTTCCTTTAGCTGGAGGAGCCCTGGCAGCTGCTCCACCCTCAGCAGCGCTGCCAGGAGCAGCCCCAGCCCGAAGCAGAGCTGGGATTTCCAGGGCAGCTGCTCAAATGGAGCCTTGGATGGATCCTCTGGGACTCCCCAGGGGCTGAGGAACCAGCAGAGCCCCAGGGAGGATTTTCCCAGCAGTCACACCGAGGAGAAGCCAAACCCCTCCACCTTGCAGGCAGGAATATCCTGCAGGAATGAAGGGCAGGCACATTTTGCACAAAGCATTAAAGCCTCTGCTGCCCACAAGCTTTATCCTTCCAAAATCTGAGCTTTTTATCCCTTTTCCATCACTTTTGTTTTGTACCCAGGGTTTGGAGCTGGAGGTTTGAAGCTCAAGCTTTGCCTCACACCTTTGTCTCACACCCTCGCTTGGCTCAGCCCAACCACACAGCCCTGAATGTCATTTTTTCTCACATAAAATTGGGTTTTTTATTCAATTCCTTTCAAATTAACACAGACTGGAGGGTCAGCCAGCGGCTCAGGTGAGCAATTTACCTGGGCAGCCAGGGGAGCATGAAAGGAGCTCTGTGAAACAGGAGAACAAAACCCAGTGAATTCCTGCAATAGATCTCCTCGCTCCCATTCGTGTGAGTAAGAGAAAAATCACATTTGAGGAGACACCCGCAGGCTCCTGGCTCCTGTCCCAGCACACCAGGCAACACACACAGCGCTGCTTCACTTTTTTAGTCCTTTTTTATTACCTCATGGCTGTTGGGTTTGGGACAAAAATGATAATATTTCCCTAAAACACAACCCTTTAAAAAGTAGCACCTAGAGAAAATCTCGGCGCTGCTATTCATCGCTTCGCACGATGAATATTTGAAGAGCTGCAATAGGAGATTTTAATATTTATGGAGGCTCATTTGATTTTCAGCAAATGTTTAGTTCCAACCACAAAAACAAAAGCGTGGCTCATTTACACCAGAGCAGGCTGAGAGACAGCTTGAACTGTGGCTGCACTCTGCCTGTGTGCAGGGACACCTCCTCGTGTTACCCAGGAGTTTGTGGGGGGCTTTATTCCCATTCCTCTCCCTTTCTGTGGTTTTGGGGTGGAACTGAACCCCAAACTCGTGGAGAAGCATCTTCCCCCAAGCTGCTTCTCCCAGGAGTTTGTGGGGGCTTTATCCCCGTTCCTGTCCCTTTCTGTGGTTTTGGGGTGGAACTGAACCCCAAACTCGTGGAGAAGCATCTTCCCCCAAGCTGCTGCTCCCAGGAATTTGTTGGGTAGTTTTATCCCCATCCTAAACTCGTGGAGAAGCATCTTCCCCCCGTCTGCTGCTCCCAGGAGTTTGTTGGGCAGTTCTATCCCCGTTCCTGTCCCTTTCTGAGGCTTTGGGGTGGAACTGAACCCCAAACTCCTGGAGGAGCATCTTCAGGAGCTGCCCCACGCCCTGTCCCTGCTGCCACCCGGCCTTGGGGCCATCAGTACTCACCAGCCAGCTCCAGCAGGCAGAAGATGCAGAGGAGCTGCCCCCACTCCATGGCTGTGGGATTCCCAAAGCCTTTCCCCGCTCCGGGGCAGCTCCTGGGCTGCTCAGTCCCGCAGCAGCTCTGAGCTCATGCGGCTTGGTTGGAGTTCAAGCCTTTGAGATCACTCGAAGCTGCTGGGGTGGGTTTCTCTTCAGGGGTTGTGCTTGTGCTCCGGGACAGCGAGGTGGAGTTTCTGGGCTTTGATTTCCCAGTTTTTATACAGTTCGTGGCAACCTCGCTATCACTTAGGTAATTTTCTCCTCCCTGCTTTCCTGCCAGCAGCTTCAAAACAAACAAAAGATCAGCCCTCTCCCCAGCAAAGGATCCCAAAGGCTGCCTGGGATTAACTCTTTCCTGAGGGCTGCTGCTTTCCTGTCCAAGGAGGGCAGGGACACAGCCTGGTGCAGCTGGAGGCAGGGACTGCAGCCCAAAGTGCAGCTGAGCTCCTTCAGAGCAGAGCAAGCCCAGCCCGAGGAGAGCAGGGATGTGGAGAAAGCCAGGTCCAGCCCAGAGAGCCCCAAGTGTGGTCCTGGCACCGTGGGAAACAGGGGAATGCTGGAAATGGGCTTCAGAATCAGAGATTTTCCCAGCAAATTAGGCAGGGAGCTGAAGGATGTGAAATCATCGCTGAGCTGAGCAGAAGTGACTCCATTAGCTCCACTAAATCAACTCCAGTCAAACAGGGAGCACGAAGCAGATGGGTTAGAGAAGGTCTGGGGCAAGGAAAAAACCAAAAGGAAGAAGTTTTGGCATGGAAGCAGGAGCAGGATGGGAAAGCAGGAACTCTGGCAAAACTCTTTGGATTGAACCTGAAGCAGGAGCAGGATGGGAGAGCAGGAACCTCCCTGAGCTCGCTGGGGATGCTTTGTGGGAGCCCTGGGAGCAGCACAGAGCCCTGGCTGCAGTTTTATTTCCCAAATGGGAAACTTGGCTCTGGTTCTGCACTGCAGGCACACGTGGGAAGCTCAGGCAGGGCAGGGTGAGGGATGCTCTGTGTCCTCACATGGGAATGTCCATCCCTGGAATGTTACAGGCCAGCCTGGATGGGATTTGGATGGGATTTACCCCTATCTGTGATAGAGGAAGGTGGAATGAGAGGATCCTTAATCACCCTTCCAACCCAAACCAGCCTGGGAGTCAAATTATGGCCTTTAGGTATAAAAAAAAATAAGAGATGAACACTTGGGAAACTCAGCTCCAGTTGGGTATTAATTCCATCTTTTCTTTTATAGCTGGATGATGAGGTGACTAAAGGAGTCGCTGGGAACAGGAAATTGAAAAATGAGGTGGACAGGAAAGAAAGCTGTGGAAAGAAGGATGAGGAAGCTCTTACTCAATGTTTTATCTTTTCCTGGATGCTCCTGAGTGCTTCTACAGACACAGAATCACAGAAACTGCTCTGAGTTTTAAGGAACCCAAAAAGTCACTGCAAACCCCTGCCATGAGCAGGAATGGCCATTGTTTGGCTACAGCCAGAAAAGGATTAAAAAACACAAGAAAAAAGAGAACAGGATGATGTTACCTACAAAGAAATCCTCAAATGGTATTTCCACATTTATTGTAGGACAAAATTCCAGTAGCTTTTGCTTTAAGCATAGTACAGGAGCTGGATGTGATGATGTTTAAATGTCCCTTCCAACTCAAAGCCTTCCCTGGTTCTGTGGCAGGAAAATGTTTCTTGGAAGGAAACATCTGTGGCTCAGCAAAGGGCTCCAACATCTATATAAAGATTTCTGTTATGTTCAGTAATCCATTACTGACTGACAGAGACACACAGCTCTATGAAAATCCAAAATATCCAGGTAAAATATGGTCTAAAAGCTGAGTGTGGGCACAGCCCCGCTGACTCCAGCAGCCCCCACCAAGAATTTTCCCTTTTTTTCCCTTTTTTCCCCTTTTTCCTCCCTCAAACACACACACACACATTGGGAAGCGCCTGACTCAGTGTGTAACCAGGTTTTACATTGCATGTCAGCCCAGAAAATGAATTCAGAGATGAAATGTGAAAGGCAAAGTGAGACAAGAGTCTTATTTAAATAACAGATATGTTTTTGTCTATGGAAGTGAGAATTTGGGTTGAATAACATGACTGAAAATCAGAGTGATGGATCCACAGAGGAATTTGGGTTGGAAGGGACATTAAAGCCCATCCCACTGCACCCTGCTGGGGACAGGGACATTTCCACAGCCCAGGCTGCTCCTGGGTAAAGAAACCAACGGGATCATCCAGGTCTGGCTGCTGGGTTTGTTTCACCTTTCAAAACCAGCCAGAAATAGAGAGCTGGACTAAAAATAGGCCATGGCTGGGTCTGGCAGACACCGTGCAGGGGAAGCTGCTGGGTTTGGTTTCCAGTGGAAGCTGGATTGGGCTGGAATGATTCCCTGTGTCAGAGATGTGGGATTTCATTCCTATTTATGTACAGGCCATCCCACAGAGCTCCTTTTGGGAGAGTGGCTCAGCTGAGCACAGGGAAATCCAACATTTCCTGCAAGCAAGAGCCACAAACCCACAAAATAAGTGACTTATTAAGATAATTCTTTAACCAAATGTCCTCAGAGGATTGCTGTGGGCAGATCTAGGGGTGCTTCCGTCCATCCTGGCCATCCCTGGGGCACAGGAATTGCTGTGCTGGGCACAGGGTGGTGGCACTGGGACCCTCAGGTGACAAAAATCTGGCCCAGCCTAACACAGAGAGGCCAGGCTTTGTTGTTGGATGTTCCTGTGCACACAGCTCTGAGCATATCCTAAATGTCCCAAATATCCAGCTGTTCCTTTGGTTATTCTGTTGATTCCATGAGTGGGACACACCTTTTCTCACGGATCCAGCTGACTCAAGCGTGTTGAGGGCAAATCCTGCAGAATTATTTCCTTTCTCTCGGAGCCCCAACACATTTTTATATGCAGAAATTGCAAGCCCACAATAAGGAACATGCCCTTGAATTATCTCCCAGCACTCAGCATCAGCTGTATCAGGTTAGCAACGCCTGAGCCAATTCCAGCCCAGCATTTGGGGGATCAAGTGTCCAAATTTTGTGCAGCACAGCGATGAAGGATCACTCACAGGGGCTGGGATCCTGTCCAAGCGTTTGGGGGTGATTGAATTTAATTGTGAATGATGCAATAGACATATGGCTGGGAAGCTATATGCCAGGAAACATGTTTTCTATAAGTATTTTAGCAGGCAGATGGCACACAATGGTTTTGGTGCAGTCATTTCCTCACCTTTTGAAAGCTGCTATTTCGGACAGATGAAATAATCCCGTTGCCACCATCCCCCCAGGGCAGCAGCACTGCTGGCCCAGAGGATGTGCAGTGTTTGGGGGCTATTCCTGTGCACAGGAATAAATAAAATAAAATTTTATCAAATAAATCAGCCTTGCACCCACCTCCCCAGTGCCACTCATGGGTCCCAAAGCATTTTAGAAACTTTCCCACTTAACTGGAGTGAGCAGTAACTCCCCACAGCACTTCAGAGGCACGTGGAGCAAAGCACACCATGGGAAACCCCAAAAGACACAAATTCTGCATCCCAACCCTCAGCAGAGCAGACTGCCCCATTCCCAGACAGCAGCTCCTTCTGGAAATGACTCCCCTCTCCTGGATCAGCCCCCAAAAACTGCTGCTGGAGGAGGAGGAGATGCTGCAGGAGGAGATGCAGCTCCTGGGAATGGTGGGCAGCCAGGGCAGAGCACGGAGCTGCAAATAAAGTGGGATTTAGTGAAGTTTGGGTTGTTTTTCCTAGGAAAATGCTGTTGGCATCACATCTGCTTTGGTGCAGCACAAAATCCTGGTCCTTGGGTTCCTGGAACCTTTGGTTCTGTGCAGGAGAACACAAACTCTGCCCTGAGCAGGCAATTCCTGAGGGATGGAGGGATGGACTGGTGGGATTCATCTCCTGAGGGATGGAGGGATGGGATTCAGTTCCTGAGGGATGGACAGATGGGATTCACCTAAAAAAGAGCAAAGCTGCCCCAGCAGCATCACCCTAATTGTGATTTCCTTTAAGACTTGTCATCCATTGGTTTCATGGCGCTGGGATTTGCTGGGTGGTGTAATGGCATTTGTACACCAGGCTGTCCTGAGGAGCCCTGGCTGTGCCTCGCTGCCCATCAGCGTGCTGGGGACACTGGGAGCTGCTAAAGGTCCCCCTGAATCCTTGGTTTTTCTCCTCTGGGCATTCCCAGCATTTCAGCCACAGCCATTCCCCCCACAGCACCAAACCCACCATCTGAGGGGATTTTTGGGTGAGTTTCAGGGCTGTTGAAGGATTTTCTTGCCCCCTCAGCTGCGCTTTTGCCGTGCTGATGAGGAGATAGCATCTCCAGGGACCTCCTTCTTCCCGTCCCAAATCCAGGAGGGATTCCATCCCAGCACAACAAAGGGCTGTATTTAGCCCTGGGGCTGGGGCAGCCTGCCTGGTTTCCTGCCTCTGCTGCTCCAACTGTTTCCAGGTCACTGCAGCGAGCATCTCCCGCCTCATCCTGCGCCAGAATTCCTCGTTTCCCACCCAAACCCTGTTCCTGTGGCTGGGAAAGCATCCCCTCCCTGCAGGCTGCAGGGTTTGCCCCTTCTCACCTTGGCTTTTAGGCAATTCCTCCTGACCTGCTCCCCCTCTGGTGCTGCTGCAGGAGAATGCTCCACTGGGGCAGAATTTCATGGAAAATCACTCAAATCCTTGATTCCCATCACAGCCTGCCCCTGGCAGGGATTAAAGAGCTGGGAATGGCCCGTGTGAAAATTGCCAAACACTTGTTTTAAAATTTTTAAAAGTTTAATAGTAGTAAAATGGTTATAAAAATAGTAATATAAATTAGAGCAATAAGAATTTGGACAATCAGAGTTAAGACAATAAAGGACAATAAAAAAGTAAAGAATTATGAATGGCTTGTTAACAAAGGGTTAACCTTTAAAAGCAGCAGCCTGTTGCATTTAATACATGCAATACATGGTGCATACATTCTTTATAAACTAGAGATTTTTTTGGTTATGGTTATATTTTCCCCCTCATTGTGTAAATCCATTTTGGTCCCTCCAAGTCTGGTCTTTCCCAATAAGGAGGTAAGAGCTCTTAATTTGAGATTTTAGTGTCTTGCTGCTGTCATCTCTGTGTGAAGAATTTCTTGATTATCTTCTCCATTCCTTGAGCATCTTAGAAAAGCATCTTACACTGCACAGTTTCTATTTTAATATTAGCTTAGAACTTAAAACTATATTTAACACACTATTTGAAAGGACTAATACAGCATAACTTTCTAACATAACACATATATTATTCATTTTATTATTTCCAAAAGCCAATCATACAATCCACATTTTTTCCCAGCCCACGCAGAGGCACCAAATGAGCATCCCCTGGTTCCATTTGAAGCAGCAGCCTCAGAGAAAAAGTTTCAGGCACAAAACTCCTCAGCAATCTCTCCAGCAGATGGTTTGCCTGCCTGCAGCCTTGTGTGCACTTGGTATTTGCTCTATTATTTGAAGATATTGATTTTAGCAGGATGATCATAGTGGGCAATTTGTTTTAATAGACCACTTTTATTAACAGTGTGTTAGACTTGCAGCGGCCATGCATCTTTCTTTTTTTTCTTTTTCTTTTTTTTTTTTTTTTAAGATTTCCAAGAGCTTTTTGGAATAAAATGTATGATCTGAAGAGCAGAATGCTGCGATTCTGAAGGGTTTTTTTTCAGCTGTTTCTCTTGGAGAAATGATTCTGCTGTGTGTGAGTGGCTGAGTAGTATCTGTGCAAGGGGGTGATGAATAGCAGAGCACAGTTAAATGCAGTTGGAAGGGTTATGAAGAGGCAAGAATTTGCTCAAGGTAAAAAGAAAAAAATATATGTATTAACCATATATATGTATATGTGGGTTTTAATTCTAAACCAAATATTTCAATTGCTATCCCATCCCTGGAAGTGTCCAAGGCCAGGCTGGACAGGGCTTGGAGCAACCTGAGGGAATGGGAGAGGCCCTGCCCATGGCAGGAATGCAACTGGGGGATTTTAAATGTTCCTCCCAACCCAAACCATCCTGGAATTTGATGATAATCCCTTGGGAAGAGTAAATGAGTGAATTTCCCATCTCTGCAGGGTGCAGCTGAACCCTTGTGTGCCATCAGATGCACCACGTGTGATTTTAGGCAGTTGAGGTACCAAAGCACCCTCAAAATTTTATTTTTTCTGGAAATTTCCCCATTAGTTTGAATGTTCCAAAATGAGTTGAACATCCCAGGAGCAAGAAGGAGCTGCAGGAAGGTGGGAGGGCAGAGAGGAGAGGACAGAGCTGGACATTCCCGTCCCCATCCATCAGGTGGTGTCAGATTCTCATTAACCCGATTTCATTGATTGCTTTCCATTGCTGCCCCCTCCAAAATGTTTAACAATAATAAACAGCAGCACCACGAAACACGATAAAAATCATTAAAGCATAAGTCTGGTAATTCAGGGCGAAGATTGGCTCCTCCATCCAGGTCTGCAGCTGCTAATTGCAATTTATTTCTCCGTTTTTGGATGTCATAGGAACATGCAGGAGCTGGATTCATGTTTCCAGGGAGATCCCCCCTCTCCAGCTGTAATTCATGCAAAGGAAGCACAGCCTAAAAAAATCCCCAACTTTGGTGGTGTTTTGGTGGTGTTTTGGTGGTGTTTGGTTATTGTTTTTGATACTAGGAAATATAGAGGAAGGTTAATTGGAAGTGTATTGATGACAAATGATTCGGATAATGAAAGGATATATGGTTCAATTTAAACATTTAATTTAAATACTTTAATATTTATTTAAGATTTTAATATTTAATATTAAATAATTAATTAGATTAATTATTATTAATCTAATAATTTAGTTATTATTTAATATTTTAAATATTTACTAGTATTAATTATTAAAATAATTATTGATTTATATGTTAATTATTAATGACATAATAATTAATTATTAATTAGATGTTAATTATTATTGTATCGTGATTATATAATGTTGTGGTGTGTATTTATTATATATTGTTTTAATATTTAATATTATTAAATATTTTAATTTAAATATTAGTTCCTAGTAAATGATAAAATTGGTGGTGTTTGTGAGAGAGAAACCAAAACCGTGATTGGGAAATAAAGGAATGGCTTTATTAATTTATAATAAAGGAAAGAACAGCTCAGTGGCAGGTGCTGCTGGAGCTGCAGAGGGAGGTGAAGGCAGCAGAGGCAGCAGAAAGGGAAAGGGGCTGCACAGGGCTCCTGATCCACCCTGGCAATTGCTGATAACAAAGTGCTGCTGGTTTTACCTGGGAAATGAGGCCCCGGAGGGAAGAGGCTTTCCCAGTTTCAAAGGAGGATTTGCTCAGATGCAGGGCCGGGAGCATCCTCAGTCATTACTGACTCCTGCTGCTCTGCCCCTCTGCTCTGCCTCCCAAACCTCCTTTTGTCTGGGCTTGAAGTCCTCTCCTTGTTCTTGGAGGGATAAACAGAAAAGGAACAGAGACCTCAGAGCCACTGCTTTGCTTGTCTCCTGAAGGGAAGGATGCAACAGCAGAACTATTTCAGCTGCAGTGCCAGATGACCTGAAAAAATGACAGGGCCCTGCCAGCAGCTCCGAGCTCACAGCTAAATTCAGACACCACTTATTTATTGATGTGTTTGTACAATAGGAGTGGCTGGCAAGGCTGCAGACTCCCAGGTACCTTCTGATGGCTCATAATAAGCGCAGACAACACAGACCCGTGGTGAATAATAGAACAAAAAGCTCCCAGGATCACTGCAATCAAAGTGCATACGGAAGAGGATGGTATCCAGTGAAACCTCCTGGGAAGGGGAGAGAGGGGCAGCTCAGGGGGAGTGGGACTCACAGGGCAGGCACATTCAATGGGAACATCCCACAGAATTAGCATTTAAAATCTCTGTGCTGCTTTAGCCCACAAATCTCGGGGTGTCTCACACGGTGCTGCTGAGGGGAAGCACTGAGAGGGGTTTGGATGGAATATTGGGAATAAATCTGGAATACTGGGAATGAACCTGGAATATTGGGAATAAATCCTTGCCTGTGAGGATGGGCAGCCCCTGGCACAGGGTGCCCCATCCCTGGCAGTGCCCAAGGCCAGGCTGGGCAGGGCTGGGAGCAGTGGAAGGTGTCTCTGCCATGGCACGGGTGGGGTGGGATGAGTTTTAATGTCCTTTCCCACCCAGGCCATTCTATAACTCTGTGATTCCATCAAAAGGCATCCAAACCGTGGGCACCACCCAAAACTTTTCTTCTCAGTCCTGTGGTGAAAAAAATATATTTATGAGAGAATAAGAAAGTGTATTAGGAACGACCAAGGTGCAGAACTTCTTGTAGGAACAGAGTTGAGGACTCTGGGTGCTCCCAGAGCAGCTGGAAGGGTTTCAGGCCCAGGGAGGAATTTTTCCTTTCGTCCCCTCCATGCTCAGGGTGGCACCTTGGTGGCCACAGCAGAGTCACCAGTGCTGCTCAGTGTGGCTTTGGCTGAGGGAGGACTGAGGGAATTCACACGGGGAGTTTGGGATGAGGAATGCTCTGAACTGATGTTTTTTCCGCCTAAAAGGACTTTCCCTTCAATCCTGTGGGACACAGCTCCCCCCAGCCCCATCTGTTATCTCAGGGTTGGTGATGGGAGGTGACACTGCATCATTTACAGAAAGCTCCGGGGTGGCAAAGGCCACACGATCGATGTGGGCAGGCTCAGGCTCCATCACTTAGCAGCAGCGCCTCAGAGAGAGCCTTGGAAATGCAGAGCCCGTCCTGGGACCTCTCCTGGCTGCTTTCAGATTAATTGTTACAGGTTTGCAGGTTTGTTTTTGTGGAGGGAAGGAGGTTTGTTTGCTTTTCCTCCCCCTGGAGTTTAACCATCATCTTTTCTCATTAGGAGGGTGGCAGGAGGTCAATGGAGGCTCCTGCCTGGGCCAGGCTCCTCCAGGATTTGGAAGGGAAATTTCCAGAGCTGCAGTGCCCGGGGCACTTTGGAGTGTTTGAGAGGAGCCCACACAGCCCCTTCCCCAGACCAGCCCCTTGTTAAACACAGCAGCTTCACAATTACCCAGGAATGAGGGATAATTGTGGCTGTGCTGTGCTCCAGGATCACCCTGCTGCTCCCTGCTTGAGGAGTTTTATTGCCAAGCACGGGAACAAAGCACAGCAAAGCTCCCCAGGCAGGGTTTGTCAGCCTGTCCCACCCAGAGCACAGGTCGAGAGCTGCCTCCCCTCCCTCTGCCTCCTCCTCCTCCTTGCCATCCTTCTTTCTGCTGTTTGATTCCCTTAATTATTTTGGAATCTGGAGAACAATCCGCCGCCGAATCGCGCAGAACAAATGGAACGTCAGCTTTCCAAACCCTCCCGGTCGAGCAGATGGCACCACAGCCCCCTGAACCTCCTCCCAGCTTCCAGAGCATCCCAGGGCTGACAGATTATCCATTAACAGAGGGCAGATTAATCCTGGGCTGCACAGCCAGTGGAAGGAAAGAGAGGCTTTTGTTTCCAAAATGGGAGAGGAAGATGCTGCTGTGGAGATGCAGCCTGAGGAGCTCCTGGAGAAGGACAGGAGCCCAAACCCTTGGTGTGCTCCAGCCCCCAGGGACCAGGAGAGCAAAAATAACTTTGTACAGGGACAGGCAGGGCTGATATTCCAGTTCCTGGTTATTTTCTCCCCATTCCAGCCTTCCCATGGACCTTCATCCCATTCTATTTCCTGCCGGCCATTTTGGCCAACTCTCTTTGTCCCATCAGCAGCCAGTGCTGCTTCAGCGGCCACCCCAGAGCCAAGTGAAGGATTTTTGGTGTTCCATGAACAGGCAGGGCCCCCCCAGTGCAGCATCAATGCCATCCCCTCCCCTCCCTGCCACTGATTTGCTTGGCAGGTGTGAAATATTAATTGCCTCGCATGGGAGCTTGGCTCACTGTCTGTCGCATTTGACTGAAATATCATTCTCTGCTGCAAATATAATTACTGGGGGTCTGGATTTTAAAAATAGCCTCTCGCCTGTCTGTTAATTAGGAGCCACGCTTTGCTACACAACGAGATATTTTGGTTAATTATGAAAGAGAAAAGGACAAATTTGTCACGTCTTTTGTTTTTGTTCCGCCGCGTCTCCCGGTGGCGGCGAGGGGAGCCGTGATGGAGCTGCTCAGCTGACAGCACCAGATGTCCCCAAAAACGGGGAGGGGGCCAGGGCTGCGGGGTCTCACAGCTCAGGGGGTGCTGCTGCCTCCCCTCAGCGCAGAGCAGTTTAAACAAAGGCAGGAAAATTCAGTCAGGAGGCAGAGCTGGGCTCGGATCCTCCCCGCGACGCTCACGGAGCCTGGTTCAAACCTGATTTATTCTCATTAAATGTTCAAAGTGCTGGGCTGAGGCAGCCAGGGCTGCAGCTCCAGAGCCCAGCAGACCCTGTGCTGCCCATCCCTGGGCTGCCAGAGGTGGCACAGGTGGCACAGGTGGCACAGGTGGCACAGGTGACATAGGTGACATAGGTGACACAGGTGACACAGGTCCATCCTTCCCCCCATCCTTCTCAAATTAAGGAATTCCATCTTCTCCAGATTGCCCACATGACTTCTCACACCCATCCCTGGTTTCTTTCTTAAAAAGAGAGGTAAAAAATTCCATTTCTAGGGCAGAAGAAGGTGATGGGTTTGGGAATGGCAGTGAAGGTGCTGACCCCTCCCCTGGGCCTCTGTGCTAATTAACGATGTGTTAATGACCCCCCAGGAGATTCAGGATCAATAGAGTGCTGTGTTCCTGCCAGGCAGAGCACAGGGACAGGGAAGGGCCCAGAGGGGCTTTGTGCCCATGGGATCCCAAGGAATTCCCAATTCTTGGCTGGTGCCAGACACAAGGCACCGTTCTGGTCAGAAAAACCCATTTTAACTCATTTGAGTTGCGGAAATATCCAGATCATGCCATGATTTTAGGGATGTGCACAGGGAAGATGAGGAGAAGCCAACAAACAGTGGGAATTTATGGAAAACCACCTATCCATGGTGCCATGGATTCCCTCCTCTTCTCCCAAGTTTCTCTCCTGGGTAGATAAAAGATCAGCAGCTCTGCTTTGCCCTAAAATGCACTGAAAAACTGTTTCCTAATTATTTATGTAATTATCCAGCATTTCAAAGAATCCATGATAACAGCTGAAATTGATGTAGTAAACAAGCATAATAATTATTCCAACAATATTGAACGGCTGTTGTGTCAAATAATCATTCCATATAGATGAAGAAAGCGCTCAGAAATAGCACCATAATTCATGATGCTCCCAGATTAATGTCACAGGAGTTCCACAACCTGCTCCTGGAGACAGGCAGAACTTTCTGCATGGAAAATTAAATATGTATACACAGAGCATATATGAAGGTATCATACATCAAACCAGGTAAGAAACAATACAAAGAGAGGGGGAGAAAAAAGTAATTTTTTAGCCTGGAATGGTTTTATAAGGATTTCACTGCTTCAGAGATTTCTGCAGGTATCAAAGTAATGAGGAATAGAAAATATTGTCATTGAAACAACAGCCTGAAAGGGATCTTTGGGCTCAAATTCCATTGCAAGTCTTCCCTCAGTAGTAGGTACTGGAAACAGTAATAATAATAATAATAATAATAATAATAATAATAATAATAGTTGCAGAAGAGCACAGGAAAACCCCACTAAATGAACTGCAGCAAATCTGCACTTCCCTTCTCCTCCTGCTGATCCTTCAGGAAAACTCAGGAAAGTGGCACAAATTTTATAACCTTGTGATGAAGATTAAAAAATAAAGCCCAGTAAAAAACTGCCTGTGAATTATTGAAAGTGTAGCTCATTATAATGGGAGAAATGAACCTTTATTTTCAGTAAGTGACACAGGAGAAGAAGAATGTTGGGATAATGATGCTCAGGCAGAACAATTATTTTTTTTTGTGATAGAAAAGCATAAAGTTTATCACTTTGATTACTGTCCTGTTGGGGTTTTTGTGTGCCCAGCTCAGAGATCAATAAATCAGAAGGGCTTTTGGAGCTGCTCCCTGCTCAGAGCAGAGGTGCTGGGGTGGGTACCTGGTGCTCACCCTGCATCCTCTGCCCAAACCCTGAATTTCTCAGCCCCAGCTCCTCATTTCTGCCCAAATCCTGAATTTCTCACACTTCCATCTCCTCATTTCAGCCCATATCCCAAATTTCTCACAACCCCAGCTCCTCATTCCTGCCCAAATCCTGAATTTCTCACAGCCCCAGCTCCTCATTTCTGCCCAAATCCTGAATTTCTCACAGCCCCAGCTCCTCATTTCACAACAATCTGACACAAACACTGCGGGCTTGGAGCAAAGCTCAGGATTTACAGGTCCCACCCTTGGCCGTGTCCAAGCTGAGGGTGTGATGCTCTCGGTGATGATCAGAACCAGCTGCTGCAGCACAGAGGGGAATTTGGGGGCTCTTTTTTGTAGGAAAAAGGACAATAAAAGCCTGCAGGGGCTGGAGCTGTGCTGAGCACACTTTTCAGGGGTATCTGTGCACCCTCTGCTCCTGCTCTTTTCCCTGGCGCTCCCCTGGTTCAGTTTTGGTGACACTTCCCCCACAACCCATGTCAGAGTGACATGACATAACTTTCATCAAGGGGAAATTTAAGGCTTAAGTGCCTTTAAAATGCTGGCATCAGTCACCAGGCTGTGCTCTCTCTCTCTCTGAATATTACACCCATTATGTGTAATTCTTCCTCCTCTTGGAGAAATATTAGCATGTACTTTTCCGCTCGTCAGTCATTTCTTTTGACCTTTGCAGCATCGGCTGCCTTGGAGAGGGTCAGGTTTGTTCTGATGTGCCTTCCTGAGCCTCTGGGAGCAGCCCAGGTGGGAGCAGGATGCTCCTGCTTGAATCGGGAATGTTCCCTGCAGGGAGTTCCCATCACTCACCCCAGAGGAGCACACTCGGAGCGGCCCATGCAGTTTCTAAAATTCATTTTATCCCATTCATTTATTGGGTTTCCTTTTGCCACAGCAGCAGCTGGTCCTTGCAGGGTCGTGGCTGTGATTTGAGGGGATCCCATCCCATCTGGAACAGGGTGACATCTCCAAAATCCAGCCCTTGCTGGCCCTCAGAGCCCAAGTCCTGCTCTGCAGCTCCAAGGGCTGATCCACAGCCCCCAAAGCGCTTTGGGGTGAGACCATCCCTCTGAGTTCATGAGTTCCCACTTAATTTTATCCTTCGTTTCCAAACGAGGCAAAAAAACCCCTTAAAACTCAGAAGCAGAAGGACACAGAGCCCTGTCCCAGCCCCAGGGTGACAATGTGAGGCCAAGCTTTCAGATTTTAGAGCCAGTCCATTTACACCCCCCTGCCTCTGTGCATAAATCAGGATTTTTTATTTTTATTTGTTTTGTTTGCTGTTTGCTCTGTTACAGATCAGGATCCGAGCTGCCAGCTGGGCTGGGAGGCCGGGACATCACCGATCATCATTGCAAACCCCCGTCCTGGGGTTCATCCCTGGCACCTCCCGAGCTGCAGAGACTGGGCTGGGTCAGGGTCTGTGCCCGGGGTCAGGGGCGCCTTCGGGCCACGAACAGGGGGCAGCTGAGCCAAACCGCGTCAGAAAGTGCTGGAGCAGAGCAAACTGATACCAACCGACAGAAATCCGGCGTCAGGCCCCACCCAGTGCAAATCCCTGCGATCCCTCCAGAGCCTCCGAAGCGCCGCTCTCCTAACCCGGCTCGGAGAACTCGGGAGCTGCTCCAGGAGCGGAAAAACGAACCCTGGGAAGCCACCAGATGGCAGCCGGAGCGGCGGGACCGAGCATCCCGAGCATCTCCTGCATCCTGAGCCTGTCCTGCGTCCTCCTGCATCCCGAGCACCTCCTGCATCCTGAGCACCTCCTGCATCCCGAGCATCTCCTGCATCCCGAACAGCTGCACATCCCGAACAGCTGCACATCCCGAACAGCTGCACATCCCGAGCATCTTCTGCATCCCCTGGGTGTTCTGCATCCCGAGCACCTCCACATTCTGAGCGCCTCCTGCATCCCGAGCATCCCCTGCATCCCCTGCACCTCCTGCATCCCCAGCACGGGTCGGGCACTGCCCCCTGGGCACCCGGCACCAGCAGCAGGAGGGTCCCGCTGTCATCACCCGCCTGCACAAACGATCCCTGTAATTACAGCACGCACAAATCGCGCTGTATTAATCACTGCAGGGCGCTAATTGCTGTGGCCGGCACCCCAGCCCGGGGGGAGCCCCTGGCAGCCCCCACAGCCGCTGATGGAATCCCTGCCCTGCTCTGTGGGGTGTGCAGGGATGTCCCCAAACCCCCTCGGTGACCAAACTGCAGCCTGGTGCTCCCCCATAAACCCTGCTGGCCCTCTCTGTGCTCTCACTGGGCTCTTTTGTGTGCTGCTCCTGTGGCTCTGGGCTGTAATTGCGGCAGCAGATGCTGGGGGAGAGAAGTTCCAGTCCTGGAGCTCTGGTCCTGCTCATTACAGCCTCGGTGAGCGGCCACTTGCACCCCAAAGCTGCTGCTTAATGAGCCTCGCTCGGCAGCCGGCACCAATTAATGCTCAAGCACCTCGGCTGGGGCTTGGTGAATGCAAAGCCAGGGAGTTAAAGCTGAAATAAGTGAAGGGCAAACCCTCCTGAAGGCCTCCTCCGCAGGAGAGCCCCAGTGTGTGCTGTCCATGCCGTGGGTGCAGCGTGTGCTGTCCATGCCATGGGTGCAGTGTGTGCTGTCCATGTACCCACACCCATTCCCTGTCCCAGCTGAGGGGTTTCAGAGGGTTTTTCCCTGAAATGCAGGGCGAGGAGGAGCTGAGGGCCCTCCCCTGTGGAACCTGTGCAGATGTGCTCAGAGCCCAGAGCCCAGAGCAGCTGTGGCTGCCAAAGCAAGCGGAAAATGCGCGGGAATGTTCTACAAACAGCACAGGGCACTCGGGGCTGGGGACACACCTGGGCACACACCCAGGGGCCCCTCCGGGCCTCACAGGGCTGGGGCAGCGTTTGCTGTGCTGGAAGGAGAGGATTTGCAGCGCCTCAGCTCTGCAATCCCCTCTGCCAAAGGCTGCTTTCATCCCCAGAGCAGAGAAAGGCAATTGAGGGGGACGGGAGCTGAGCTTTGAGCTGCAGGGGAGCCCATGGAGCACTAGAAAGTCTCCTTCCCTTCTAGGTCAGTGCTTTGCAGACAGGTCAGGGATCCACCTGCACGTTTAACCCCTCTTTGAAGTGAGAGCCCCTCGTTTCCAGGGCTCAGCACACTTCAGAGCAGGGCAGGAGCCCCTCAGCTGTGCTTTGCAGTGGATTTTTCTGCTCAAGAGTCATCCTGCAGCTCACTGAAGGTGCCTCAGCTGCACAGGGGTGACCGTGGCAGTGCCACCATGGTCAGATCCCTGCTGGGGGATCAAAGCTGAGGTGAAGCCACACCTGGGAGCAGTGCAGGTGGGGCTGGCAGCTGTCAGACACCCCCAGAGCTGCTCCAGGGATCTTCTGGCATCCTTCACCCACCAGGCCTGAGTGCATTTCCTGCTGTGGGTTGTAAGAATTCACTCTTACACTCTAATTTAATGAGGTGCCTTAAATGTGGATTTAATCACGGCATTAAGGTAACGGTCACAGCGTTCCAACTGCAGAGCGCAAACATCTCTCGTGAGCAGGCAGCTCTGCTGCATCCCCATTAATCCAAAAATCATCTCCATATTAATCACTGCACAGATTATTGCTCTGCCCATATCCATTGCCAAGCTGCTAATCCTCCTGCTCCTGCTCTGGGGGCATTGGCTCCCCACCAGCAGCTCCTCCATGGATGGAGGGTGGGAATTCTGCCTTGATCCAGAGGTGGAGGGAGGGAATTCTGCCTTGTTCCAGTGATGGAGGGAGGGAATTCTGCCTTGTTCCAGTGATGGAGGGAGGAAATTCTGCCTTGTTCCAGAGGTGCAGCCTCCTCACTGCACAGTTCCCCTCAAAAGGAGCCAATTGATTCGTGTGTGTGTGTGTGTGTAAATGAGGTGTTTGTTTGAGCCCTGCAATTAGCACAGATTGCTGCATTTCCTGCACCCTCACCCTGCCAACACCCCGAGCTCCAGCAGCTCCTGCCCCGATAGGGACACGGAATTACAGCATCTCCAGAGGGCGATTGGCCTTGCAGAAACACTGATCTCCTTTATTCCCAGCAGGTGAGGTGAATTCCATCCTTCAGCATGGCCAGGATTGCTGGCCAGGACCATCATTGCTGGCTCCCAATCCTTCTGGAAACATCCAGCCACCACAACATCCAACACAGAAATGCTCTGAGCTCCTTCCCAGAGCTCTGAGCCCCCTCCCAGGGCACAGCAATGCTCTGAGCCCCCTCCCAGGATGGATTGCAGCATCCCTGCACCCTGATCTGCTGGGTAACATTGCAGCATCCCTGCTCCTTGATCTCCTGGTTTGGACTGCAGCATCCCTGATCTGCTGGGCTGGATTGCAGCATCCCTGCTCCCTGATCTCCTGGGCTGGATTGCAGCATCCCTGCTCCCCGATCTGCTGGCTCGGTGCATTTGCTGTGCGCGCCTTGCCTTGAGCCAATCCCTCCCAGGAAGGGCGCTGGCACTGACCCGGCCTTGTCAAAGGCTGAGACGCTGTTTGAGCACCTATAAAATATTCATGAGGTCCCTGACCCGGGTTAGAAACCCCTGTACAGCCCGAGGCCATGCCTTTGTGGGGAGCTCAGAGACAGCGCAGGTTCCCGCTGCAAAAATCAAATGAACGTCAAAAGAATCCTTAAAAACGCGTGCGGGAGCGCCTCTCCCCCGAGACCATCCCTTTGTGCGGGCTGAACGAGGCAAAAAAAAAGGGACTTTTAAGCATTCCCATCTTCTCCTCAAAGCTCAGCCTAATTGAGTGCGAACAAAAGGGAAAAGGCGCTCTCCTCTGCAGGCAGGCGGCGGCTGGAGCGGAATGACAATGGCAGCGTGTGACACTGCCAGCCCCGGCCCCGGCGGCTCTGCCACCCACCAGCAACAGCACCCGGGCTCCGTGCGGTCCCCTGGCATGTCCTGGTGGCTCCTGGGCAGCCATTGCCACCTTAACATGAGATGTCCATCTGTCTAGAGCCAGCTCTGCATGTCCTGGTGGCTCCTGGAGAACCTCTGCCACCTCAGAACAAGGTGTCCATATGTCCAAGCCAGCTCTGGCATGTCCTGGTGGCTCCTGAACAATCATTGTCACCTCAGCACAAGGTGTCCATATGTCCAGAGGCAGCTCTGGATGTCCTGGTGGCCCCTGGAGAACCACTGCCACCTCAACACAAGGTTTCTATGCACCCGGAGCCAGCTCTGGCAGCCCTGCCCATGTCCTGGTGGCTCCTGGGTGTTGCAATCTTTGCTGCAGTGTTGTCCTTCCCTCTTCTCAGGGGCTCTTCTCCTTTCTCTGCAGCACAGTCCTGTCTCTCTTCTCAGGGGCTCCTCTTGGGCTCTCGACCCACCCCTATTTATCTCAGTTACCCTCACGAGCTACAGCTGCTGCCCAACTAAGGACCCTGCAGCTGCAGCTCGTTTGGAGCAACTCAGAAACACACAGATCTTACAATACAACATATATTCAGGCCCCCACATTTCCCCCCTTTTCTTTTAACAATAATACAATTACAATACACATACAGTTCCAGCTCTCAGGCTGCCACAGCTCTCGGCTGTCCGGGGGATTCCATACCATCTTGTGATGTTTGGCTGTGCGTTCTTCATCACGTCGGGGTCACCAGTTGTTGTAATCTTTGCTGCAGTGTTGTCCTTCCCTCTTCTCAGGGGCTCTTCTCCTTTCTCTGCAGCACAGTCCTGTCTCTCTTCTCAGGGGCTCCTCTTGGGCTCTCGACCCACCCCTATTTATCTCAGTTACCCTCACGAGCTACAGCTGCTGCCCAACTAAGGACCCTGCAGCTGCAGCTCGTTTGGAGTAACTTGGAACCACACAGATCTTACAATCTTACAATACAACATATATCCAGGCCCCCACACCTGGGCAATCACTGCCACCTTAACATGAGGTGTTCGTCTGTCCAGAACCAGTTCTGGATGTCCTGCTGGCTCCTGGAGAACCACTGTCATCTCAGCACAAGGTGTCCATATGTCCACAGCCATCTCTGGTATGTCCTGCTGACTCCTGGAGAAATACTACCACAACAGCACAAGGTTTCCATGCATCCACAGCCAGCTCTGGCAGCCCTGGTGGCTCCTGAACAATCACTGCCACCTTAACATGAGGTGCCCATGTGTCCAAGCCAGCTCTGGCATGTCCTGGTGGCTCCTGGTGGCTCCATGTGCCCACAGCCAGCTCTGGCACCCCTGCCCATGTCCTCCTGGTGGCTCCTGAACAATCACTGCCACCTCAACACGAGGTGCTCATGTGTCCAAGCCAGCTCTGGCAGCCCTGCCCAGCACCCCAGGGACGCCCAGCCACCTCCCACCCCTTTGACATGAGGGGTCCGTGTGTCCCACACATGGTTTCATCCCTGGTGTTTCTGCAGTGCCAAGGCTCCCAAATGGAATTAAATCTCCCAACACCCTGGCACAGATGCCCAGAGCTGCCCTGCATCCCTGGCAGTGCCCAGTGGAGCACCTGGGACAGCAAAAGGTGTCCCTGCCATGGCAGGGGTGGCACTGGGTGAATTTGAAGATCATTTCCAACCCAGCTCATTCTCCACCATCATTCCTGGTGCTCAGCCCACAGACAAGCCCATTCCCAGGAGCAATAAAGGCGAGCAGGCATCATAAAACTCCAGTAATCAAATGCGAAAAGAACAGCCCAATTCATTAATAGCCAGACAAGCTGATAGAGACATCCTTAATTATCAAATATTGCCATGGAGTTCATTTTTACCTGAGTTGTTTAAGCCTGACCGTCCTCCTTCCCTTTTCCTACACACATTGCCCTGGGGTAGCATTGAACATTTGTAATTAGATTCCTTCACTGGAGTTAATTATGAGGTGACAATAAAGCCTGAGTGGTTCCCATTTTCCTAAGTATAATTTGGGAGGAAAAACAACCCCTTTGTTTTGGCATCAATGTTTGTAATTTTAAGTTGAACATGAACCTCGGGCTGTACTCTTGATCCAGATGGATACAGACATGTTCATGTTGGATTATGCTGTACATCTACTTTATATTGTGTTTTTATACTTTCACATTATTTTATATCCACTTGCCTGCACAGACCTGTCAATATTCTGGAGCACTGACAAGATTTCTCTTCAGGATGGTCTCTAAATTAATTAATGAGTTTTTATTGCATTGATGTCAGTCTGGGACAACATCAATATTTTGCAGGTTCCAGGTTGACCTGGCACCCAGGGTAATGTTTAATGTTTTATTATTATTACTTTTAAATTTTAATTAAATTATAATTTTTATAGCCCCAGCAGGTGAGGGGTCCCAAATGTCCCTTGGAAAGAGCCTGGAGTGGAGAGGGGGGGATTTAATGTGGGTTTTAGTGATCTGCTCCATTTTAAGCACTGAAGTGTCCAATAACACAGAATTAAATTTCCATTACAAATGAGTTGGCCACTTAAACATAACCGGCCCCTGCATAAATAAAGAGCAGGGGATTTTTGTGGCTGTTATTGCCAGCCTGAGATCACTGTCTGATCCCATACAACTCTATGTCACCCTCCAGCTAAGCACTCACAGAAGGGAAAAGATGCTGAAATTTAAACAGGTCAAAATTAATGCCACGGCTGGATTTGATAATTGGAAGTGTCACCTCCATTAGCTCGCCCTGATAACCAGGCTGGAAAAGGCTTCACCAGGATGTCCAAAATCTGCTGCACAATCTGCAGAGTGACAGTGATCACACAACAGGAGGGGAAATAAGAGCTGGAAAATGGGGTGCAGGGGGTGCCAGGGACAAACTGGGGGCTGAGGGGAAACTCCAGGGTTTTCTGCTGCTGTTTCAGTGCTGGGACCCCCAAAATTCCCATGTGGAATTCCAAACCTGCTGTCCTGACTCTTTCCATGCTGTGTCTGTGGCTCCTCACTCTGCCCTGGGTGTGGGTGTGACAGAGGGATCCAAGCCATCTGCATTTTATATAACCTTTATTAAGCATCACTTGACCTTGTCAGTGCCAATAAAGGCCTGTGAAGAGCACGCCAGATAAAATGTAATTTTTAATTGAGTATCCTTATTACATCTATTAACAAGGTGCAGATGAATACAAATGACCCCACGGTCGATGCTGTCGATTCCTGTTGGAATTTCTTTCTCCTCTGCTGAGCTGAAGGAGTCAATAACCTCCCAAAGGGTCACAGGGAGGGGAGATTTTCCTGGCAGCTGCTGTCCTGCCTCCAGGGTCTGTCTGTGGCAGTAGCCACAAATAAACCAGTACAGGATCAGCATCTCTGAAGGAAAAACACAAAATCCAGCTCCCCCAGCCCTCAGGAAAGCTCTGGGAAACTCAGTTCCTGTTAATTCTTTAAATTTAGACTTACCCGAGGCACAGGTGAAAAACAAGTCTCCTCTTTTATTCCCTAATTCACAAATCATGTGAAAACTCCTCTCCACGTTGGTGGTCACAGCACTGGAATGGTTCCAGGGCCTCCAGCAGCAGAGCAGAGCCCGTGGGATCCATCTGGGGAGGGTAAAGCTGCTGCTTCCAGGGGGGAGGCAGCAGGATGGGGCCAAACTGCTCCCCCTGAGGCCCGTGTCAAGCTTTGGTCTCAGTTTGAGGGAAATAAGCTGGAATGACCTGCCCGAGGAGCAGAGCGCTGCTCTGACAGGATGGATTTGCATCCCCTTGAAACGGGAGCAGCTTCCCATCTCCCCATCAGCCCTGCACTAAAACCAGAGGATTCAGACCCAAATGTCCACAAAAACCCCATCCTGGGGCAGCCCTGAACTCCCTGCTGTGACCCACAGCGTGCCAGGCCTTCCCCTTCTGGCTCAGATTTATCCTTTTTAGTGCCTAATTTGTAAAGGAAAAAAACCAAAACCACCCCTTGAGATCCTCCAGAAAAAGCAGTGAGACCTCTTGTTCCACATCCACATGTTTCTTCTTTAATGCTTCCTTAAGGGTCTCCATTTTTCTGTCACTTATCATCATCCAGAGTAATTTGGGGCTGTTAGAGAAAGTTCATTGCTGTAATTGCGACCATATTGGTCATTAAAGTTGACAGACAGCTGCTGGAGAAGTCACTCGCTGGTTCTGCTGCTCAGCAGATGCCTCTCAGCATTTGCTGAGATATTGGCTTGAATTTATGAAATGGAAGCAAAAGTGTTTCACCTCAAGGACTGAGTGTTTCAGGGAGGGGAAAACGCAAAGAACTCACCCAGGTCTTTTATTTACAAACAGGGTTTGCTGCTCCTGCTCTAGGAGGGGAAATAAATGGAATTTCAGGCTGCTCCTGCCTGGAGCTGGATGGGCTTTAAGGTCCCTTCCAACCCAAACCACTCTGGGATTTCCACTGGATTAAATGGCACTGGATGGGCTTTAAGGTCCCTCAAACCCAAACCAGCCTGAGATTTCCACTCACCCATTTCTTGCTGCTGGGATTCAGTAAATAAATGTTCCTCACACAATTAATGCCATATACTGGAAAATAAGGAGCTACTCAGGAGGGGTTTTTTTAACCAGTAAACTTTATTTATATATAACAACAGTACAAAGTGAGTCCTTGGCTTGCAAAATAGGAGTGTTTCATATTTACAATAGGTACACAATAATATATTAGAATAATAACAAAACCCCCTTTTATTTCCTTGGAACATTTTTAAATACTTAAACTTTCTTACATTTTTTTTTCCACAACACTTGTAAAAACAACAAAAAACAGACAATCATCTTAAAAAAAAATATAATACAGAACTCCAGTGTGTCAAGTATAACGGGGAGGGGAGGAGCCAGAGAAGGACACGGTGGAATGGGCACAGATACAAATTCAATTCCTTGTTCCTGCCAACACACAAATCCCCTAAAACTGCTGGGGGCTGCTCTGTAAGGAGAAGGGGAAGAAGAAATATCAGAATCTGTTCCATGGCTGATATACCTCTACATTCTGTGACATTTTTGGGGGCACTCCAGAAGCTTTTAGTACCTGTACATTCCCTTGCCCTTGCTGCTTCTCCAAGGTGCCTCAACACCGGAACTCAGCAGCAAGAGAAGGACATTTCTGCTGCATCTTCTGAAGCCATGAATATCGTGGCCAAATCAGCTTTTTTCCCTCCCCAGGGCTCCTCGTGCCCCTTTGTGTGCCCAGTCCTCGGGAGGAGAAGCTGTTGCATAAACTTCCAAGCTTATTCGAAAGAGAGGTATTAAAAATCCCAAAGGAAAGGCCATCCAGGAGATCTGGTGTTTGATTTGGCAGCCCTGGGAGGCCCAGGGGGTTTGGGACATTTGGGATATTGTCCGTGCAAGTGGATGGACCCTGCGGGCCCTTGGGGCGCGTTCCTCCACGCTGCAGAAAGGGAATTTCTTCAGGATTTTATTCCACGGTTACAAAGGAAGGAGAGGGGTGGGAAACACAGGGACAAAGGGGGATCTGAAAGAACAAGCACAGAGACACTGCCATGCTCACAGCACGGCCACAACACCGCTGGTGCCACCTCAGACACCTTGCAGGGACAGAGGGGCGTTTCCAGCATGGAGCAGGGGGGCTCTGCCATCCCACCCTTCCACGCCCCCTTCTCTGACCCCAGCACCCCAAAGAGCACCCTGGGGTGCAGGGCACACACCACAGAGCCCCAGTTTTCTTCCAGGAGCCAGGAAGGCACCGGGCACACCCACAGCTGGGGCTCTGGCTGCTGTTCCATTGCCTGCCCAGAACAGGACCAGCACCCACATCTGGGGCTTTTCAGGCGAAGGGGCTTTAACAAAACCTTCCAGACAGCCAAAACCTCCCATCCTCTTCCCCTGCCAAACTAACCTGACCACAGTGCACTGAAACTGCACATTTGGGGTTGCTCAGCTCAGCAGATCCCCACCAGCCCCTTTGCAGTGCACACACCTCTGACTCTGATTGTTTCCCCACTGAATGTCTCATCAGTAAAACCAAACCACCCTGCCCATGCAGGTGGCCTCAGAGCTGGCCCCAGAGCTTTGTCCTCAGCCTCTGACCCGCTGCCCTCTGGTTTTGGGTCCAGGCTGGGTGTTTGCACCAAGAACAGGGCTGTGCTCTGAGCTCCTCCTCACACACAACTCCGTACAATGTCACAGCTCCTGCACTATTGCCTTGCAATTCCTGGTGCAAATGTGGATCTGGAATAGGATGGCTGAAGCTCTGTGGCATTTTAATGCATCTTTGATGTCAGTTATTTCCCCTCCTCAGAACATTTTCTCTTCTCTCCAGGGCTCAGTCACTCGTGAGCTCTCCCTGATGGCCCAGCTTATTCAAGTCAGTCTCTTTTAGTTTCATTTAGTTTGGGGAGCTGAGTCCCTGTGACAGGTGAGCTGTGACAGCACAGGAAGCTGGATGGAGAGCAGCCAGCGACAGGAGAACGTGGCTGGGCTGCTGCCAGGGAAGGGCCTGGAGGCTCTGGAGCAGCACAGGGGCCGTGCTGGGAGCTGCTCTGCCCTGTGCCAGCCTGGCCTTCCCCACCCCTGCTGGCTCCTGGGGACCTCTGGGAATGAGACCTTGTTTGGAGGCTGTGCCCACTGCACGAGGGGATGCTCTGACCCTTTTCTCACACAGATTTAAACACCAAGATCCCCGCAAGGAGCTCAGAGCCAGCAGCGAGCAGAATGCAACCCCAGAGCCCCAAACCCTCTGGCCTTTGCCCTCCACGTGCCCACCCAAACTGTTTCCTATGTTGGGACGTTTTTTGTGGAGTCCAGTGGAAGGTGGGAGGGAACACTGACGTGGGGATGGGCCACCAGGATTTTAAGACAGAGTGTGGAAGGCACTGCTGTGATGAAGGTTGGCACTGCACTCATTGTCCCCAGCGTGTCACAGCCCCAGCCCTGGGGAGGCACCGCTGTCCCCACATCCATTTTTCAGGGAAAAACCTGAAATTCCACACCTGGGATGCTGCTGGATGCAGCCAGGCTATGGCAGCAGTTTTGTTCCTCAGTGCTGGGTCCTCACTGCTGCACACAGGGTATCCAGGGATATCCATGCTGGATTTCACATGGTGGGTCCCCATTGCTGCAGACAGGGTATCCAGGGTTTCCAAGGTTCTGGATTTCACATGGTGGGTCCCCACTGCTGCACACAGGGTATCCAGAGTTTCCAGGGATATCCATGCTGGATTTCACATGGTGGGTGCTCACTGCTGCACACAGGGTTTCCAGGGATATCCATGCTGGATTTCCCAGGGTTTCCAGCCATGCTGATCCCTCCTGCCTCCCTTCAAACCCCTCCTTTATGGCAAAGCGTGGACCCCTCGCTGCCCACACCCTCTGAGCTTTGTTGGCTGTGGCTCCTGGCGGGGCTCAGGCAGGGCCAGCCGTGCCTGCGAGCTCCCCTCTCCTGTGTGGGGTTTGATAAAGGCTTTCAAGGTGGAGAAGCGTTTGATTAGCACCTCGCTCCCCCTCGGAGTGGGTGCTTTGATAGCTCGTGAGCAGAAGATGAAAGGGAATTATTCAAGCGGTGACACCAGGCAGAGAGATCCCGGCAAGTGACGTCTCCCACTTTGATGTTGGAATACCTGAAACGCAGCGAGCTGGAGACTCCAAACTCCAGGCAGCCTTGCAGGAGGAGGGGGGCAATGAGAGGGACGTGAAATCGTTTCATCTAAGGCAAGTGCCCCCTCCTGACCAACCCTCGAGTCCAGTTTGCTGCCAGTGCAAAGAAAATGCCATTTCTGAGATCTGAAGCTTCCTCCTCCCGAAGGAGGAATGGAAATGTTGGATGCAAACAGGGCAAGAGATTCCCAGCGCTCTGCCCCAGGGGGATATGTTGCTTCAATCCATATAATTGCCTGTAAAGATCCATAATTAATGTCAACCACCATGAGAAGATGCTTGGCAATGTATTTGTAGGCCACCCCTCCAGCCAGGACTGAGCTGTTCCCTCTGCCATGCTCCCAAAGCTTTTCCAGGTGATGGAAGAGGAATTTTTGCTGTTTCCTTTGGGATTCAGTCGGAAGTGTAAGAGCTTACTGGTTTGCAAAGTGCTCCTGCTGCTTCCCCTTCTTTCTTCTCTCTGCTCAAATTGTCCCATAGCACAGAAGATGAACTCAGTTGTCCCTTGTCACCTTAATGTCCTCCCACAGAATCCAGGGGGTGTGTGGGGACTTCCATTTCTGCTGAGAAAATACAGGGGAGGGGGAATGACAAAGCCTTGGCTTGGGGGCTGCTCCTGGCCAGAGGGGAGGGAGCAGGAGGAGGAAAGCAGGAGGATGAAAAGCTGCACAAAAACCTCTCAAAGAGATGCAGAGAGGAGCACCATGAGGGCTGTGGGGCAGGGACACTGTCAGCAGGCCCGGTGATGCACAGCCAGGCCTTTGCTTTGGACTGTACTTGTATTTTGGGAGTCCTGCAGAGGTAACTCCCCAGACTGATATTTGGAAGCATTTGGAAGTCCTTCAGGAGCTTTTTGGAGTGCTCTCTTTGGGTTTCAGAGTACCGTGAGAACCTGGAGAACCCAAACCAACAACCACAGCTAGGACAGAGCTGGCAATCCCTCAGCTAAGCTGTGTGATGGATCACTGGCAACAGCAGGAACAGAACCACAAAAAACCTGCAGGATTTCAAAGCCTGACCCTGTTCCATGCCCTGGGTACCTGCAGCAAAGAGCAGGCCAGGCTGGGGATTGCTCCAGGGACATTCCTGGGCTCTGCAGTGCCTGACTTTTAGTAGGACTTTTGCACATTTTTGCCTCAGAAATGAGATTCACCATGGAGCGGGATCCCTGGGAAGGGAACTCAGATAACAGGCAGCACAAACACTGCTCTGCCCTTCAGTCTCTGTTTCTGCCACTCTCCCCCTGTCTCAGTAAATCCAGCGCTCAGGCTGCTGTAAATGTCAAGAACTTATTGCACAAGGTTGATTATTATCATCGGTATTTTCTGCTTTTCAGAGAGACTCACAGAAGTGGATTACCAAAAGAAAGTGGACTTGGCATGGCTTTTACTGAATGGTAATTAAACCAAGTTTCCTGAGTATTTCTCTACGCGCTTCTCCCCTCCCCTGGTGCTGGACTGCAGGACGCAGAGGGCCAGCTGGGCTCCTCCAGGCAGGAATGCTGCAGGAGGGGGATGGAGATGGAAATGGATTTTCCTTCAACACACACTGGCTGCAAACAAAGGTCCCAGTCTGGTGTGGGACTGCCTGGGCAGACACCAGGGATTATTTTGCTGCCATTGCCAAGCTCCTGCAGCCAACTCTTGTATTTCCATCAGGCGTCCTCTCCCTGCCCTCCCCACTGCAGCCTGCACACGTATCAATATTTACTACAGAGAGAAATATTTACAGCACTCCTTCCCCTCCTGGCACTCCACAAAGGGACACACATAAGCTTTGGTGTCTTTGAAAGAAATAACACTCACAAACATTTGCCTGTCCCTGGCCACAGGAGCGTGTGCCGTGGGGGCCAGCAAGGAACTGAGGAGAACAACGAGACGCCAACACAGAGACACGACAGCAGAGCTGGCTGGCCCGGGGGTGCTGGTTAAGGTTTGCTCTTGCCTGGAGCAGAGATTTCTCTCCCTTTCCCAGTGGAAATGCAAGTCCTGGCCCTGGGTGAGGCGGCAAACACTGGAGGAGACACCCAAAGGGAGCCTGTGCCCAAGGACTGCACGTCCCGCAGAAAATCAACAAAATCTGCTCTCCCAGCATCCAGGCTCTTCAAGTATTGTCACCGTAAACATCAGGGTTTGGGGGGTGTTGCTGTGAGAAATCAGAGCTGGCTGCTGGAGACGCCCAAACCGACCCTGGAGGTGTCAGCCCAGCTCTGCCTTGGCTCATGTGGCACCTGCAGGAACCAGCAGTGGACACTGAACGGATCAGTGTTGGTCACTGTTGGATCACCGTGGCCATGCTGGACACTGCTGGATCACCACGGTCATGCTGGACACTGCTGGACACTGCTGGATCACCACAGCCATGCTGGACACTGCTGGACACTGCTGGATCACCATGGCCTTGCTGGACACTGCTGGACACTGCTGGATCACTATGGTAATGCTGGACACTGCTGGACACCGCTGGATCACCATGGCCAAGCTGGACACTGCTGGATCACCATGGTCATGCTGGACACTGCTGGACACTGCTGGATCACCATGGCCATGCTGGGCACTGCTGGATCAGCCAGTGAGGTGGGATGCAGGTGGAAAAGGGAAAAGCAATGAAACTCAGATCTTCCCTCATTCAACAGTAAATGGGATTAAAAAAAAATAGATGCATTGACACAATATAAATACATGGATAAAGCTGGATTTCAAGACAGGTCGGATGATGTGGTGGTTTTGCAATTCAGGTAAAGTTCCTTCTAGTGCCTCTAAGTTACTCAGCCACTGGACTATTTTCGGGCAAAACTGCTATTTCGCTTGTGTAAAAAGGTGTGGTGCAAACTTGTGCTCCTATGTGTTGTAAGAATCCCAAACGAAGACATTTTGGTTTTCCAGACGTTCCAATTGTGTGACAGTCCGTTTGCAGAATGCCTGAGCCGTGTCCTTGGAAGGCTCTCAGGGACAGGATTCAGAGCTGATCCTCCTTGCCAGGATTATCTCTATGGCCTCTGTGGTTTTTGCTCTATTTTTTTTCCTTTTTCTTCCTTTGTTTTGTTTTTTTTTTTTTTTTTTTAAAAAAACCTTTAAATAAAGTTTTATTTTCCAATATACATTAAACAATTTTCATGCAAAGCAGCAGTCGTGGAGACATCCAGACTTTCCAGGTTCCTTCTTTGCGCGTACACTCGAAAAAATGATCCACCTTGCTTGGACTGTGATGGAGATGCTTCATCTTCCCTTCCTGCCCTTCCAAACCGGATCCTGTATGGTTTTTGAACACAGTCAGTCCTTGAGCCAGGCCCTGCTCTCTCCAGAAGAGCCTTGGCGGGTGTGTCCAGTGCCTTCCTTGCTTGTTCTCCCTCCGAATTCCCGAGAGTCCGTGCGATGCTCTGCCCTTTGCTGCCCGTGACCTTTCCTCAGCTCTCGAAGGACATGGCCCCAATGAGTTGCTCTACTTTGTAAGCCAAGCGCTGCCTCCGAGCCTGCTCGTCCTGCTCCAGAGCTCCGATGAGCTGGGGGGAGAACGGGAAAAGGGGGAAAAAATGAATCAGAGAGAGAAATCAGCGTGAGAGAGGGGGTGGGAGAGGCGGGTGGGCAGTGAGTGTGAGCAACTCCATGTGAGGAGCTGTGAAATCCCAATAAATAGCAAAGCAACGTGCCTGTCGTTGGTTTGTTGGACCCCTCCATACCCACCCAACAAAAACTACTCTGGTGCCTCGGACTCCACATTTCTGGTGCCTTGGAGTCCACGTTTCTTGTCTCGTTTAGCAGGAAAGTGATGAGATTTTTCAAGCCTAATGGGAAAATAGCCGTGGCGTTGTATCACAAATGGCTACATGCAGTTCAATGACAAAACCCTTCCGTTTCACGGACATAATTACAAAATCGGTTCTTCTTGCAGAGAAATGAAGGGGTGGAACAGATGGCGAGAACTTGGTTTCAAGTGATGCATTCATTAAAGGAGCTCAGGCTGCCAGGAAGCCTTTGCAAACAGGAGCCTGTGCCACTACAACAGGGATTTGGACCGTGCTGCTCCCAAAGGACACCGAGGTTTCTGGGGAGCTTTGATGGGTCATGAATATTTTCCACTTCACTGGGTGCATGCCAGAGCTGAGGTATCCAGGTGCTCCAGCAATATTTCAGCTCTCAGTCCTCCTGGGGAGGATGCTACAAGTGTGGCCAATCCCAAACCCCTCTGTGCGTGAAGAGAACAGCGGGGCAGGAGCGGCGCCAGCTACAGCCGGGCTGAGTCCAGGGAAGGGAGGGCAAGGAGATCCGGGAGGCAGCAGAGGGATCCCTACACAGCCCAGCACTGCTTCTGCTCTCCCACACACCTGCCATGGGGCCCTGTCGCCCTGGGGACATCCCCATGGCCCAGGGGACACTGCTGCCTAGAGCACACCATTGCCCCAGGGACATCACCGTGGCCCAGGGGACACTGCTGCCCACACCCACCTCCTCGCTGTACTTGCTGACATAGGAGTAGATCTCGTTGAGGGCGCTCAGCATGTTGAACTCCACGGCGTGCAGGCGCGACTGCTCGGCGAGGTAGGCGTTCATGTCCTGGTCACTGATGGCCGGGAGCTTGGCAATGTCGGCGTAATACCTGCAGGAATGAGGGGGAAAATGAGAAACAGGAGCGCCACAAATGTCCTTGTGCCCCCTGGGATTTAAGCTAAGCTCTGCAGGGATAAGAACATATTTTTGTTTTGTGTTTGCATCCAGCAAAATGGGATTTTGGGCTGTAATGAGCTGAAAACAGGAGCAGCGGTGCTTGGTGGGGCTGAGAACCACTGCTGGTCCTTGTGTGTCACAGACATCTTTCATGAAAATCCTTTCCTTAGGATCTTTCCTCCTGAGAAGCTGAGAGGCCTCGGGAATGCAACAGGTGCATCTGTGATTGGTCTCATGGGGTTGTTTCTAATTAATGGCCAACCACAGTGAGCTGGCTCAGACAGAGAGTCCAAGCCACAAGCCTTTGTTATCACTCTTTCCTTTTCTATTCTTAGCTAGCCTTCTGATGAAATCCTTTCTTCTATTCTTTCTTCTATTCTTTTAGTATAGTTTTAATGTAATATATATAATGAAATAATAAATCAGCCTTCTGAAACATGGAGTCAGATCCTCGTCTCTTCCCTCATCCTCAGACCCCTGTGAACACAGTCACAGTTGTGCTTCCCTTCCACTCGGGATGCTCTATCCTGAGAGCCATGGGGTTTCAGAGCACCCTGCACCCACAGGATGCTCTACCCTGAGATCCATGGGGTTTCAGAGCACCCCCAGTCCCACGTGCTGCCCTCACCTCTCCACCCAGCTCTTGTAGCTGGGGATGTCCTTGGCGTACAGCAGCTTGTTGGAGGGGGAGTCCTTGCCCAGGCGGTGCTCGGAGGTGGAGCAGGAATCCATGAAGGTCTGAGCCACCACGGACAGGCAGGCGTCCGTGATGCTGCCCTTGTGGATGTCGAACACGAACTGAGGGTTTTTGATCACGTTCACCCAGAAGCGCAGGGGAAGGCTGGGAGGCAAAGGGAGAATTGGAATGAAATGAAAGACAAAAGGAAAGAGCTCGTGCTGTGGATGGTGCTCCCAGGCAGAACACGAGTGGTGGGGAGAATAAGAGAAGAATTTAAACAGGAGCTGGGCCCGAGGCCACCAAGCACCAGTTGCTGCTGGTGGACCCTGCCATGCCCAGGAGCTGCTCCAGGCTCAGATCCCACACGGAGCAGTGGAGGAGATGAGGGGCAGGGCAGGGCAGGGCAGTTTAGGGGTGCTGGGGCAGCATCTGCAGGAGGAGCCCATCAGGAGGAGCTCCCCAGAGCAGGGTCAGTGTGGGGTGAGCCCTGGCACTGATCAGCTCTGCCCGGCCGCTCTCCAGGACCCGCGAGCTGGCAGCAGGAACCACAGGATTTGTCCCCAAATCCCGGGGCCTTTGCAATCAAAGGGGAATTATTATTCCTTTTTTTCTCTGGCTGTATAGCAGGATCAAAAAAGCAGCTGCTGCTTTCTATTACCTTTCAAGTCGCAGCTCTCTCTGTCTCTCCAGCTCGCTGAAGGCTGCAGCCTTAACTCTTGCAGTGCTGCAGGAGAGCAGCTCAGCCCCAGCCCCAAACACCCCAGCTCCCTCTTCCAAACTTCCATTTGCTTGGACCTGCTCCAGGGGCAGCCTTCTCCCACATCCCCACAAAAATTCCCTTTCTGGAAATGCTGCAGCTCAGCTGAGATGGGGAGAAGGAAGGTCCAGGCCTGGTGGGGCCTGTTGGCTCTGGCAGACCAAACTCTGGTGGTCATTGCTTTCTTTGTTTCTCATAATTTCTTGTGGTTCTACAGTTTTTATCCCAATAACTCCTTCTAAGGCTTTAAATTAATCGTTTTGAGCTTCCCACTGCCTTAGCAGGGAAGCAGTTTTTGCAGCCATGATGATTAGAGGCCTTTTAAACCATGAGGGACTCGGGGGAAAATGCAAGGTCTTCAGGGAGCAACCATTTGTTGTGCTTTTTTATTCCTTTCTTGCAGAGGTAAATTTCCAACCCACAGAGGTTTTAATCCTAAAATAGCAGCAGAGGCAGAGATGTGGGAGCTCCCACTGCTTGGAGAGGCTGGACCTGGCTGCAGCCCTTGCCTGAGGCACGCAGAGCTGGCTCCTTCTCCCTGTGCCACCTCCTGCTGATGCCCAAATGCTCCAGGTGCTTCCCAAAGTGATGGGAAAGGTGCAGCCACTGGCTGAGCTCCCCTTCCCAGCCAGTGCTGGCATTTGTGGCACAGCAGGGCTGTGCAGGCAGCACAGGGCAGGCACTGGAACCTCGATTTCCACTCTTTCCAAAGTCCAGATCTGCAAATCTACAGCCTGAGGGCAGTGTCCAGCTCCCACCCTGGGTATAGAGACAGCCAGGCTATCTCCCTTACCTTCTAAATCAGAATATTTCAGGATTTTAGCATCCCGTGAACACTGGCAGCCCACCGAGGCTCCCACCCCATGAGCTTTGTGTTCTGCTTTGGGACTTGGCCATTCCCAGCCCATCTCAAAACGATTCCCCACATCTTTTTTTTGTCCAGAATCACAGAATACCCAGAGAGACAACCAGGCCATCGCCCTCTCCTTCCAAATCAGGATATTTCAGGATTTTAGCATCCTGTGAACATGGCAGCCCACCGAGGCTCCCACCCCGTAGGCAGCACACCTTTGTGTCCTGCTTTGGGGCTTGGCCATCCCTAGTCCATCCCAAAACCATCCCCCACACCATTTTTTGCCCAGAATCCCCCAGATTTGCCCCCTTTCCCCCGTTACCAGTTGCTCTTCCAGGTGTGCCGGACGTCGGTGTCGTGGATGCCGTGCTTGTCCGCCTGCTCGTCCAGGAAGTCAAACATGTACTTGATGGCCAGGGGCAGGGCACTGCCGCGGTGCACCGTGCTGAACAGCGTCTCAAACAGGTCATCCACAAACTTCTGCAGCGTGCCCTGGTGGCAGGAGGGCAGATCAGACAGATTCCAGCTTCTTTTTGTAATGTAATTTTATTTAGGGGTTTGTTCGCCTAGCGCAGGGTGGGGGGAATTGAGGTTTTCTTTCCATTTCACCAAGGGTTTCAGAATTTCTGGCTTGTGGGCTTCAGTCAATGAAAAGGAGATTCCCAGAGCCAGAAGATACAGAGGGGATAAATGAACATTGACAAACATCACCCCCGGTGTGGTCAGAGACACCCGGTCTGGAAAATGATTGATAAGAGAACCAAAGCACCAGGACCAAATTAGCACTGAAAAGATCAATAACCAATAGGAGATCAAGTGCTGAGAACTGTGTGATTTAGAAGCAGCGAATGTGAATTTCCTTGGAGGTTTTATGTATAAATAGGTGAAAAATTTGGTAAAAAGCCATGTGTGATGGAATGATTTTCATTGCACAACCCAGGCTTATGTAGATGAAATAATTTCTATTACACATCCTGGCCAGAATAAAGTAATCCCTAATTCTCTAATATTGAAAAGATGCTGTTGGAAGTTTCTGTTTTTCCTGCAGTTTTGGTGACAGAAGCAGCAATCCAGGGGATGAGAGGAGGGACAGGCACTCCCCTGGCCAAGCAGTGGTGGCAGGAAGGGACACCAAATGTTACCAGCCCCAAAAAGTGCCACCACAGATCCCATGGGAATAACCAAGGTCAGGGTCTTTCAAAAAGCTCCAGCCTGCAGCTACTCACTCCTTTACTCTTTATTTCTAACCTGAAATAATTTTTTTTTGCTTTCCAGAGCACAGCTGTGTTATCCACACTGATGAGCACATGGGGAAAGGCAGGAAAATCATGTCTGGTTGAGGGAATGGGTAAATATTTCCAGGCACTGCTTCATTCACCAATTTGTGAATTGGTGAACACTTTTAACACTGTGCAAAAAAAAAAAAAAACAAACAAAAAACGGAGAATTGCAGCAAATGCCTTGAGTGTGAGGAAATGTGGGCTGTGCTTTTGTTGCTGCTCCAGGAGTTTCCCAATCCCAGGAGAACCCAGCCAGGTGGGAGCTAGGGGTCACCAGGACCCCTCACCGTGCATTCCCCATGTGAACCCAGCCCAGTTACCTTTGTGGCCAGCAGCCTGGTCAGGTAGATCTCAGACACCATCTTGCTGCCCCTGTCCCCCTCCTTCTGGTCGCCGTGGTCGTGGTTCTTGACCAGGTGCCAGACCTTGACGCCGCTCTCCAGGTCGGGCGTGATCATGGGCGCGCGCGAGCGGAGGCTGTCGGGGCTGCCCGTGTAGCGGAACGTGGAGTCTGAGCCAGGGAGAGAGCCTGGTCACGCTCACAGCAAACCCTTCTGCACCTCCTCAGTGCCCTCTACAGGGATGGTAACGCCCAAATTGTTGGCACTGGGGTTTGTTTTTTTTTTTGGTGGGGGAATGAAATGGAAAACCACTGCGGTTTTGTTTCGCGCGCGTTCTCGTTCTGTGCCGTCAATATTTGGTGTTTGGCAAAAATCTGTGGTGGTCTCCATTCAACAAAAAACCTCAGAATTGAGCTTTTTTTCCTCCCATATATGGCCTTCCCTGCCCCATTCACATCCTTTGCTCCTCATACAGATCCACACAAAAATCCTCCCTGAGTCACAGCTTGTACACACGACCCCGGGCACTGACTCCTGCAGAAGCAGAGCTCCAATTTCAGGATTTTGTAAATAACGAGGAGCTGCCCAGCACAGCCAGCACAAAGGGCAGGAGAAGCTGCTGAGCTTGTCCTTGAGGCTTTCAGGAGAGCAGTGAGGACTCAAGCTGAGCATCAACAGCAGAGCCTGAGGCCAGTCCTGCACCCTGAGCCATCCCTGGGCTGTCCCTGCAGGGAAAAGGGAGCTCAAAGGGCACCAGGGAACTTCCCCTGAATTGCTCAGAAACCATGGGGGATGTGGCACATTTATTGATATATTTCCCTTCCCAAAGAATGTCCCTCCCTGGATCCCCAGCATCTCCAGGATGAGACACAAGGCTGAGGAGCCCAAATGTGCCTTACTGGATTTTTCCTCCTCAAAGAACATTTCTTTGTTCTCTGGGAATCTTGTGCATTTTCTCAAGTTTAGCCTTCAATTCACTGCTCCCCCTCCTCGTCAGGAGTGCGGGGATCGATCGTAAATCAGCTGAGGGAAATACTCAAGTCATTACCAAAGTAGCTGGATTTTCATCCCTGATTAAGGCTTAGATAAATGAGTGCTCCAACTGATATAATTAAGGAGACAGACAGGGGGACAGCTCAGGAAGCATGCAGTAATTCTATTTTTAAACATATCTCTGTACTGATATATGACAGGGGAAGTAAATAAGTATCTAATTTAAATTCTGCCGGCACAATTAGAAATATTAATCTTAACATGAGCAATGATGGCTCGTATTGGTGCTTTGCAAAAGCTTTTCCAGCTGACAGAGATCAATGAGCACTGAGGGCTCAGGCTGTGAGACCCAGCCTTGGTTTTTCCTTCACCTGCACTGTGGGATGTGTGGGCCTGGCAGGGAAAAATGCCTTTTCTCCTGGTTTTTACCTCAAGACTCCCCTGGCTGTGGCTCCTCAGAACACTCACTCAAGCTAAAAACCAACATTATTTTGGGAGCTATAAACAAGAGGAGGAGATGGGTTTGTCAGGAGACTTTTTGCTGGTAAAACACTCTGTGAAATGAACGATAATGAAAGATCAGCACTCGAGAGATTTTGCCACTGCTGCCTTTTATGGAAGTCTATTATTACAATTATTGTGGATTTAGTGTTCCAAGCGTGCACCTGGCACCTTGCAGGCTCATTTTCTCAGGCTGCAGCATCTTCAGGGACCCTCTGGAATGTGCTGAGCCCTTCTATTATGCAGATCAGGAATTCCCAGGTGTGCACATCCCTGCACTCTGCGCTAAGATTGCCCTTCCCCATTTGTGACCCATTAGCTCCGAGCTCAGGATCCTGCACTTGGGGAGGAGCAGGGGGAGGATCAGATAAATCAGGTTTATCTGTGGTGCTGCTCAAGGGCTCAAAGATCCTCTCCTGCATCACCCAACCCCTCTGAGCCCCTGCACCTTCCCCAAACCCCACATTCCCCAAAGGCTGCTCCTGTTCTTGGCATTTCCTTTTCACTGCTCTCACCTCTCCTGCTCCTTTTGCTGTTCTCACAGCTGGAAAAGCCTTTGCAATCCAAACCAGCAGCCAGGGACGTTTTTCTGTTTGGATTTACCCTTGTTCTGGGAGGTTTTTTGCTGTTTTTTCCCCACCTACACCCCAGTGTGCGTCCCTCCCATCCCCTCCCATCCCGTTTCTCACCGTATCTGCTGATGGAGGTGCGGGAGATGCTGGCAGAGGCAGGGATGTTGTAGGACGAGGTTTGCTTGGGCACCAGAGCCACCACGGAGCGGTCTGACACCTAGGGAGGCAAACAGGACCAGTCAGGGGGGCTCCCTGCCCACCCTGTGATCCCAGGCTGCTGATCCAGCAATTCCTGGCAAAGGCAAACCAGGACACGCTCCCTGAGCCCTGAGCTGGGCCAGGATACAGCAGGAGGCTGAAGGAAATAAAGGATAAATCAAAAGATGTGGTGAAGATGCTTTTGGTCGTTCTGATTTAAGGTTATGCCTTACCCAATAAAAATGAGAATCTCAAGAATTGTTGTGATCCAATTAAAGTAACAATGCAGAGGGAATAAAAGGGCTGTAATAACGTTATGGGCCATAAAACATTCCTATTAAACCATTTTTTATTTTAGCAATTTTTACGAACTTTAAAAGTTTGATTTACAGCACAGCAAGTCATAAAGCCATCTTTCAGGGTATTTAATTGTTATCCCTTTACTGCTCCACAGAAGGAATTAAACACTGGGAAGTCAAACTATAAATGAACATTAGCACTAACAAGGTTTTGTTACAGCAGATTTTAGTAGCCATGTTTAATTTTATCCTCCCTATAAATCTGGTAGTCACTGGAAGTTTTCTAACTTATTCCCCTTAATTAAGGAGCTGCAGGTTTCCAGGGAATGGGCCTGAGGAGCTTTTAATTTTGAACTTGTGACCTGTGGTGCAGCACAGTGAGGGAGCACAGAGTCACCACGTCTTGCCAGGGCCCAGCAGACACTTTTAGAGGCTCAGCACAAAAGAAATGCCTCTTCCTGCTGCAGGAATTGCTTTTTGGGGCTAAACCCTGCATTATCTGCCAGGAGTTTTGTGATGGACTCAGCACTGACCCCACGAATGGAGGTTTCTGCTCCCCCAGCAGCTCCAGGGCTCTGTACCCTCTCTGCAGCACCAAGGGGAGCTGCACACAATGACCTGCGCTGCCTCCAAGGCTTTGGGCTCCATCCAGATGAAAGGTTTCATGGAAATCCAAGTTCTTATTATTGCTGGTGATAGTGGAAATAATAGTTACTTGTGTTTCACGGCACAAAAGTGAGATTTTCCTAAGCAAAACACTCCAAACACCTCCATAATTTCCTTCGCTGCTCCTGCCTCACTTCATCCAATTTATTAAGCCATTGGAAGGAGTGATCAGTGCTGATATTATTTTCTCAGGCTGTTATTAGCTGCCACTTCAGCTCCATCTCACCAGGGAGAAACCCGAGGTGCTCCCGGGCCGGATCCATTTCCACCAGGGCTGTGCTTAACTGGGAGAGAGGCACTAAAAATTCCACACACACACACACAGAAAGGGCCCTCTCAGTCAGTAAATCTGGGGTGGAATGGCTGCTGTCAGCCCAGCCCCAGCAGCTGCAGAGCAGCCTCAGGTGCAGCACGCGTTCGCTCGCTCCCACAGCACCCCTGGGATGCGCTCCGGGCTGCCTGGCTGCTCCACAACTTTATAAATATTCTGATTATTCTACAAGCTGGAAACACGGGGCACAAAGCACCTTAAAGACAGGGAAAAGGAAGGCTGGGAAGGGAGGAGGGAGCCCAGGGCATGGAGCTGTGTCTGCAAGGGGCAGTGAGGGCGCAATCATGATTCCCGCTCCGCGTCCGCACCACTCTCACCTCCTAAACCTCATTTTCCACCCAAACCTCCCCTCTCTCCTCCTAATTTTTCATTTAAAGCAGCTTCCTGGTCTCCTGGCCTCTCCAGACTGGCAGGGGCTGACAGGTATTCATGCTCTGCTGCCTCTGAGTTAACCCTGCGTGAGCCACTGTAAATCATCCCATATGAAATTCAGGGTTTCATTTTTCCCGAGCGAAACCACACGGGGCAGGACTCTCCCATGGAGTTTAATAGCCATGAAACCAAAAGGATACGACACAAATGTAATACAATTCCCTGCCATGTGTAACAGCTCTGGAGAATTTAACAAAGAATTACACTTATTTAAGCTACACATCTATTTTTATAAATGAAGAAATAAGCAGGAGGTGCACGGTTCTCTCTATAATTTCATAAAGTGGTTCAAAACTATTAGAAAGGTGAACATTTCTCTTTAATTCCAATTTGGGTTTTGAATGTGAAGGCTTCCCATGAAAAATGCATTTGATCAGCTATTGTATTTTTGTGATTCTAATGTAGCAAACAAAAGCAACAAAATCCAGCATCCAGGTGTGGAGCTGGGAAACCCTTGGGATTAAATAAATAACCATCCTCGGGGCACAGTGAGGAGGAGGAGGGTGCTTTGGAGCCTTGGAGCTGCAGGGAATGGATTTTGGGAATGAGGAGCAGGAATTGAGCACCAGGAGGGTCCTGCAGGTGCAGCACCTGTCGCAGGGACACACCTGGAACCTGGGCTGAGCATCCCCAGCACCCTCTGCAAACCCAGGATCTCCCTGCCTTCGGAGCAGGATAAAGACAAAACAGCTCTGAATAAAAAATGGGCAGGGCTTTGCAAAGCAGCTTTCACTTCTTTCCTAGAAATCCAGAAATCATCTTTACTGCTCTTCTGGAAATCCACGTTTATTTTAATGGCTTGAACCACGCCTGGCTCACATGTCACACTCCTGTTAAACAGTGAGAGCTCGAGGAACCCCAGTGATTTTACACCCTCCTAAAGCTGGGACTTTACCCAGGTATCTGTTTTACTGTGCAGTCCTGGAACATCTGCAGTTTTGATACCTAATAAAAAATTTTACCCAACAGAAAAAAACCCCAAACTGGTAAGAATTAAAAAAAAAAAAAAAAAAAAAAATATATATATATATCTGTTAGTTTTTGGCAAAAGGCTCGCCTTGACAGGATTTCTGCTGCTGCAGTGAAAAGAATTTGGCTTCTCTTTAATGCCTGAGACAGCTCAGTTGGGCTGAGCAGAGCTGGGGCTCGTGTCCCTACCTGGCTGGATGTCTGGCTGCCAACTCCTCCTTTCTTCCAGAGCAAACCTGACACTCAAATGGCAGCAAGAGCTGCAGCATCCTGAGTGCTGCGAGGATTTTGTTTATTTTAAGGGGAAGCTTTTGGCTCAGGTTTTCCCACAGGCTCTGGAACAAAAGTGCTCCCTCCCCCAGCATCCAGCAGACATCAGACAAGCACAGCTTTCACTTGTGACTTCCTCACGATGACTTTTAAAGATCAAGGCATAATAAAGTCTCGCTGCTTCCCTGCATGTTGGTTAATCCCTTGCAACTGTCAGGTAAAACAGATTTTTAGGAACAATGGAATTAATCTGTGCAACTCCTCTGACATTTCACGGTAATCTGTGTTTAAATCCTGGGGGCTGCTTGGAAAAGTTGACCCTGGAGGTGCTTTTTAACATGCACGGTGCATATTGATGGCACTCTGCAGCCTGGCTCCCTGATTGCAGGGCTCCTGTCAATACTGGCTCCCATTCAAGTCCCCCAGCGTGAGTCAGGCTGATGGACTGGAGATGCTGGATAAACAGGGAGAGATGCCAGATTAAACACTAAACACTTCTGGGGAGGTGGTGATGGACAGGAGTAGGTTACAGTCCCAATTAATGCACTTATCCTGTGCTGCAGGCAGGCTGGGAGGGAAAGCCTTTGATTCCCTGCAGCCAAACCTTCCTCAGCCCCCTCCTCGCCTCTCTTCCCATCTTCTTTATTATAAATTCCCTCTAACCAAACCTTCCCCAGCTCCCTCTTTTCCCATCTTTCACACTGTGAGGAGCCCTTTCCAGCAGACTCTGCCCTATCCAGAAGATAAAGATGACAAGAATTTCTTAGCCCTTCTCACCCACCCTGTGTGAGCATTTCACTGCCTGGCTCCACTTCCCTGTGACTCTGTGTCCCTCCTGCTGCTCTCCAGGCTGTCCCAGACCCCAGACAAAGCCCTGAGCCCCCCGTGCTGCCCTCCCCAGCCCCCTCATCCCCAGCCATGCCCCTGCACTGCTCCCTCTGCCTCCCTCCCACGGCTGGCAGGAAAATTCAGCCAATTTTCAACTCTGCTGCTTCCCTTGAGCTCCGTGTCAAGGCTGCTTTCCCCCTAATGCTGAAGCACATGGAACCCTTCTGGTTTATCACACAGACTGCCTGGGCACAGGAGTCACTGGGATTGGGCTCCTGCTGCTCTGTTCCCTGCTGGGGGCTGGCAGGGGGGCTGCTCCCTCACCTGGTAGTGCACCAGGGTGTTCAGGCGCTTCCAGTCGCCCTCGATCTTGGTGGTGATGTCCTCATCCTGCAGCACCACGCGGGCAATGCGGCCCTGCCGCCACTCTGGGGAGGGGAGAGCCACGGTCAGGGGGTGCCAGCCCCACAGGGATCACCCCCAGCCCCACAGGGATCACCCCCAGCTCCTCTGATCACCCCCAGCCCCACAGGGATCACCCCCAGCCCCACAGGGATCACCCCAGCCCCACAGGAAACACCCCAGGGATCACCCCCAGCCCCTGGGATCACCCCCAGCCCCACAGGGATCACCCCCAGCCCCAGGGATCACCCCCTCCCACCAGGCAGGGCAGCCCCTACCCAAGTCCATGTCCACAGCTCTGGGTCTCTGGGAGTAGGGCACGTTTTTGTACACAGCATCCAGGATCTTCTCCTTGACCTGCGTGATGGTGTCGCAGTTCAGCACCTTGACAGGGATCTCTGGGCTGTTCTCGTTGTCTGGGTTCACACAGTTCAGGATCTGCAGGGGGAGAAGCACACCATGCTCTGGAGGAGAGGTGTCACAACAGCCTCTTCCCACAAAACACCCCACTGCAGCCCTAAATGCATCCCTGCCATTGCATTTATAATATTTACACAATTATTGCTGAGAGAGGAGCCCTGGATGTCCATTTTCACTGGCTGCAGGAGGGCACTGCCCAGAGCACAGGGAGATAAAATTCCCTCACACTTGAAAGGAATAGTGGATTTGTCTTTACAAACCAGCTCTGGGTCTGCTGGTGGATAAAACCAGCAGAGTTAAAAGAAACAATGGGAAGGATTTCACTGATTGATAAATGGGAAAAGATATTTGGTTTTACAAATAAAATTTAGGTTTGCTCATAAATGAAATTAGACATTGAAAGATCAAAGAAACAATGGGGAAGAAAAACGCCTAAATTCCATAAAAATTAAAAGTTAAAAGGGAGGGTTGTACATTAGAGGGGAATCTCTGGTATCAGGTGTTCTGGGAAGTCTGAACCTCTCAAGTACCTCAGAAATGGGAAAACCCCCCTAAATTCTGTAAGAATTAAAAATGAAAAGGGAGGGTTGTACATTAGAGGGGAATCTTTGGTATTGGGTGTATCAGGAAGTCTGAACCTCTCAAGTACCTCAGAAATGGGGAAAGAGAGAAGGGAATTGTGGCTGGGAAATTGGGATAAAAATGAGGCTGCGTCCTCCAAAAATCTGAGAGATCCCAGGGGAATGCCCCATGGCCTCTGCCTTTATTCAAATACAGCAAAAAGGGACTCCTCTGTCTCCTTTTGGGACATAAACCTCTGGTGTTTGTGGAATAATTTTCCTAACACACCTGTGAACTGGGGCCACACCTGGCTGGGACATGTGTCCTCATTGCCCAGTAACACTCACAGCCCAGGCAGAGCCCTGATCCTGCTCCAGGGCCCTGATCCTGCTCCAGGGCCAGCCCAGCTTGGGTTCGTCACTCACCAGGGTCTTGTACTCGATCTGCTGCCGGATGAGCTTGTCCTCGCTCAGGGAGTAGCGCGCCTCCCCCGTGATGGCATCGATGGGGCCCTTCTCCATCTGCTGCTTGATGGCACAGTAGAGCATGAACAGGGGCTCCCCAGCACATTCCTGCACCACAGGAGGACACAGGGCTCACCGGGGTGAAGGTGCCTCTGCTCCTGTGCCAGGATTCCCCCCAGCACAGGCTCAGCCCCACTGGCTCAGCCCTGAGCACATGTGCAGCCCAGCAGCTCCTGGAGAGCTCAGCCTGAGCTCCACTGCTCCATGGCTGTGTTGTCTTTGGCAGGAGAAATCCCTCCTGAACCTAGATGGCTGTAAAAAATGGAATTTGAGATCTCCATCTCACTGTTCACTCCCCTGGAGCAAATTCAGTGGGGCTTCCAAAGCCACAAATGAAGTTAAAACCATGGAAGCCGAGGCATGACAATGTGAGAATTCCCCTCAAGTAACAAGGAGGTGTAAAAACCTCCTTTAGTGGGAATTACTCAGGGAGACCTGAGGCTTGGGGAAGGCTGTGAGCATGGAGCAAATCTCCACGTCTCCCTCCTTGCTGCTCCATCTCTTGGAGCCCAATGGAAGAGTTTCACCCTGCTGGGGTGTTTGGAGGGTGAGACAGCAGAGCAGGGCCCTGCTTCACCTCTCCTTACCTTGAGGAACCTGTGCAGCAGGAATGCAAACCAGTTGGTCAGCATCTTCTCGGCCACAGACTCGGTCCTGGGGAGGCAGGAGGGCAAACATCACACATGGAGCACCCAAAACTGCACCCAGGGCAGCAGCAGCGCTGTCCCTGTCCCTGTGTCTGTGTCTGCCCCTGTCCCCGTCCCTGTCCCCGTCCCCATCCCTGCAGCCCATCCCAGCCTGCCGGGGCTGGTGACAGCCAGCCTGGTGACACTCAGCCCCCCGCACGTGGCGCAAATTACAGCCTGGCTCAGTAAATCACTGGGATTTGCAGCAGCTCCCGGCAATCAGGGACAGCCGAGTGACAATGGCAGGGAAATTGCAGCTTTCTCCCCGGTCCCACCCAGTGTCCTCTCCCCGCATTGTGCCCGAGATTATCTCTAATTTAAATACAATGGCTCCTAATGGCAGCTTTCAACGCTGCCTCTGCAGGGCCCCGAGGGTTTGCTTAAAGCTCCACAGCTCCTTTTCCTGGGATGGGATGGGATAATGGGATGGGATGGGATGGGATGGGATGGGATGGCTCTGGTGATCAGGGGCGTCTCAAATTGGAGCCCCAGCCCCATACAGGGGAGAGCTGCTGTGACCACAACCCTGGGCAGCTGTGACCATGACCCTGGCCACCTGTGACCACAATCCTGGCTATCTGTGACCATGTCCCTGGCCAGCTGTGACCATGGCTTGGCCTGGCTCAGCCCTCCCCTCCTGGACACCAGTATCTGATCCAAATTCCAGCAAGCAAGGAAGGATGAATGCAATTCCCTTTCCTTTGGGGACTGCCCTTACCATGAACCAGGTCACCTCCTCCGTAACCTGGAGAGGGTCACATCTCACTCCAGCCCCATTTTCCCTGTTCTTTCCTTTAAATGAGGGGCTGCCTCTTGCTCTGACTCCCCACAGCATTTTCCAAGTGCTTGGAATTACAAGCACACACCAAAGAAGCACAGAGCTGGATTCCAAAGCCAGGCAGATCAAAAAATAAACAGGAGCCAGAGATTTCAACAAACAAAAACTGACACCAGTCGGCCAGCAGACCTGGGGTAACATCATCCATCATCTCCTAGGATGGCAACATCTGTCAGGAATTCGTGAAAATGTCTGCAGATCCCTGAAGAATTTAAGGCTGAATTGATTAACTGCCTAAAAATTCATCCTACAAATTGACACTCACGTCGTTCTCCTGTTTGAAATATTTCAGGCACCCAATTAAAGAGAAGAAGCACCAGCACCCTTTTGAACAGCCCTAGAAAATGGAGAGGCAGTGACACAAGCCACAGACGAGGTGAAAAACTCAGAAAATAACACATTCAGGGCTTCGGGGGGAATATTAATTTAATAAACTACTTTGTTAATAGAATATTAAATGAAGAACCAGCAAGTCTCCCAATTAGCCCTCCCCTGTGAAGCTGCTGTGTCCTGTCCCTGTGGGCTGCTCATGACACCAGCTCTGAAAAAGCACTGAAATGTGGAGGGACAGAGAAGGTGGGGAATATTGAAGGGGAGAATGGGATGGGATCCATGGGATGGGATGGGATGCGGTTTGGGATGGGATTTATAGGATGGGATGGGATGGGATGGGATGGGATGGAGATGGAGATGGAGATGGGATGGGATGGGATGGGATGGGATGGAATGGAGATGGAGATGGGATGGGATATTTGCAGTGCCTCAGTCCTGAGGGCAGCCGGCAATGGGGTCAGTGTTGGGTTCATGCCCTGTGCTGGTGGAAAGGGGCAGCTCTCTCCCTCCCTGGTGCTGGGAATTCCTGCATGGAACATCCCTGCCCTCCTCTGCTTTCCAAATGGGAAACTGCCTCATAGCCCAGGGCCTGGCCTTTCTCCTACACACAGAGGGGTCTGCTGAGCCCCCAAATCTGCTGAGCCCCCAAAATCTGCTGAGCCCCCCAAATCTGCTGCCAGGCTTTGAGCTGCCCCTACAAGCACTGCTCTGTGCCATCACCAGCCTCTGGATTTTTAAAATCTGGAGCTTTTAAAAATCTGCTCCAAAAATATAAAATAAACTCCTGGAGATTGCCAGGGCAGAAGAGAATCCCTAGACTTGGAGCCAGCCCTCCTCATGCTGACCACAGAAGGATCCAGAGATGATTTTAAAAAGGAGCCTGACAAGAGCGCCCAGCCTTGGCTGCTCTGGCAAGAAAACAAACCTAAACAAAACGAGCTGGGAGAACCTAAAAAATAAATATGTGTTTTATTAATTCTCCCTGCTCTATGTAGGTCTCCAAACTGCTGTTGCCAGCAAGCAGAGCAGCTGTTTGATTTAACGTCAACTTTCTTGCTGTCTCCCGCGAGGGGCAGTCGTGGAAGAAAGAGAGAGGGGAAAGCCAGGAAGAAAAGAGGGAAAGAACTGAGTGTCAGTTATCAACTGCTGCCACCAGAGAGCTCAAAACATTCTGAAAAATAGTGTTTCACTTCATGGCTGATCACTCCTTATTAAGTCAGAGCAAGGAGCTCCAGGCTGGGCTGGGCACAGGGTTGGGGCAGGTCTGCAGGCCAAGGTTTAACAGGACCTGGAGCATCAGGACAAGGAATAAAGCCTTTAAACTTAAAGGGGAGTAGATTCAGACTAGATACAAAGCAGGGATTTTTATAAGGGTGGTGAAACACTGGCTGAAATTGCCCAGATTGGTGGAAGATGCCCAATTCTATGATTCCTGTTTAATGGGTAAATCTGGGGCAGGACAGACAGCCCAAAGGACAGACAGCCCAAAGCACAGACAGCCCCCGGGCCTGACTCCTTGCTGGCTGTGCAGGGAGGAGGGGGCACAGCTCTTATCACCATGCCTGTGTTTTTTGGAGCGCCAGGAAAAGTCATTATTGATGGCTGAGGCAGAAGACGCCTTCCCAGTGACTCGTCAAACCACGGGGGAAATTAAGGCGGCTTCCTTTGCCAAGATGAGTTATTGCCTCCGCAAACACAGCCAGATTTAAAGCAATTTCCTGTCAAGTATATTCATTGTGGCTGCAGGGACCCCTGAAATTTTCCTGGAGCTGTGAAATCCTCCCCTCTCTCCAGTGTGATGCCAGCAGAGCCCCAGCACAGCCCAGGGCCAGCACTGACCAAGGCCAGGCTCTGCAGGACCCATGAGGACAAGGAGAACAGGGGGAGCCTTTTCCTTGTGCCCACTGTTATGCCCCACATTAATGCACATTTTCCCCCTATTTTCTTGCTGGCTCATCCCAGCTCTGCCATGGACGAGTTGCTCAATCCATGCTGAGCTCCTGGCCCAGCTGTGGCACATAAATCTGGCACAAAAATGCCAGGCAGAACCCGAGGATCTGGTTTGAGACCCTGTTCAGCCACCTGTGAACTCCCAGAGCAGGGCCAAGTCCCCATCCTGGACACAGGTGAGGGAATGGATGGAGAGCAGCAACTCCCTTCCAACACCCTGTGGAGCCCTCAGATCACAGAATCCTGGAATTATTCCTGTTGGAAAAGACTCCTGAGATCATCAAACCCAACGTATGTCCAATCTCCATGTTGTCAACAAGACCAGCCCCTCCAGAGCCCTCAGATCACAGAATCTTGGAATTATTTATGTTGGAAAAGACTCCTGAGATCATCAAACCCAACGTATGTCCAATCCCCACCTGGTCAACAAGACCAGCCCCTCCAGAGACTGCAGCACCTCCCTGGGCAGCCCCTCCCAGCCCTCTCCATGACTGAACTCCCCCTGAAATCCCCACCAACCACCCCCAGGACCCCTCCCCTGCCCGTGCCCGGCCTCACCTGCGCAGGAGCAGCTTGGGGTGGTTCTTGTTCTCCAGGTTCTTCTCGATGAGGTCGGAGAGCAGCTGCTTGAGCACGTCGGTGGCGTACTCCAGCTTGCCCTGCAGCCCCGTCATGATGAGCGAGGCCACGTTGCCGCGGTCGCGCATGGAGAAGCTGCGCTGCAGCTCCAGCGTGCGGATGAAGGTCAGCAGGAACACCTTGTTGTTGATCAGCTGGGCAAAGAGCTTCAGGGCCTTCTCCACGCTCTGCTGCCCGTTCCCCTGCACCTGCAGGAGGAGATGGCGGCCGTCAGATGCAATGTGAGGGGACAAGGGACAGCGGGGCAGCGCTGACAGCAGTGGGGTCACACTGCCAGCACCGGGGGAACCACAGGGGCAGGGAATGGTTTGGGTGGGAAGGAACATTAAAAATCTACTCGTCCCACCCCCTGCCATGGCCTAGATTAAAAAATCTGCTCATCCCACACACCCTGTCCCATGGTGCTCCAACCAGGCCTTGGACACTGCCAGGGATCCAGGGGCAGCCACTTCTCTGTGCCAGAGCCTTCCCACACTCACAGGGAATAATTTCTTCCCATCTAACCCTGTCCTCTGGCAGTCTGAATCCATTGTCCCTTGTCCTGCCCCTGCAGTTCCTGATTAACAGTCCCAACTCCAGCTCTCCTGTCACCCCTTCAGAACCTGGAAGGTGCTGGGAGGTCTCCACACAACTTTCTCTTCTCCAGACTGAACATTTCCAACTCTCCCAGCCTGTTCCAGCCTCCTGGCCTGCTCTGGAGATGCTCCAGCAGTCCCATGCCCTTCTCACATTGGGGGCATCAGGATGGTTTAACCTGGCTGCACCCTCAGGATCTCAGCATCCCTGGATGTGGTTTCTGGTGCATTTTGAGCAAATCTCCCCTTCCACAGCTGCCCTGATCCCTGGCTGGGAGCTGCACTCTGTGCCCACCATAAAGCAGCAGCCTGGAGCCTAATGCCCCCAAAAATGACACCCAGTTCTGCTTGTTCTGCACAAAAAGTGACACTCTTGTAAGTAAATTAAATACTAATTTAGACTATTGCTTTATTATGGGCCAAGTGTAAAAAATTAATTGAGGCTTTCAGCCAGTTGCGGATTGAAGTAATTCATTACAAGTGAAAATGATGAACTGCACGAAGCAACTCTTTACCAAACATCTTGGAGAGTTATCTATTGGTTTTACTAACGTTACATAATTAAGCAACTGTGTAATTGGCAACACATTTATCACTTCTGCAATTCTGTTTTTCACGAGCAAAAAAAAAAGCAAATTCATATTTGTTTGCTGGAGTGCCAGCTTCTCTGGCAACTCCAACAGCAAACATAATGCATGGAGCTGGAGAACTCGGAGCAGGAATGGGCTGGGAGAGGCTGCTCCTGTTTTAGCAACACCACAGCAACTGCTGGGTGCTAGTGGTCGGGAAAGAAACCCAAATGAATGCTTTAATGGTGGGGAAAGCCTGCCTGGTAAAAGAATCCAGCCCTAAAGCAAGCAGGACTCCTCCCTCCTCCATCCATCCCTGGTCTGTGTGGGGGAAACAGGATTTCAGGATTTACTGGGGCAATCCCAGTGCCTGAAAAGCTGAGCTGAGCCTCTGCACATGCCACGGGGAGGATGGCAGCTCCATCCCAGGGTGGGCATCATGGCCCCATCCCAGGTGTGAGGCGATGTTTATGACCCCCATCCGTATTTTGGCCCCCTCCCAGGTGAGCAGGGCCCATCTGCCAGGTGCACTGATGGACCCCGGTGCCTTCCCAATTCCTCCCTATTCCCAGTGAAAGTTTTTTGTGTATTTTTACGCATCCTGGTGGGAAATCCAGGGAGATGGAAGCGCTTGCTCGGAGGCTGGGATGCCTGGGCATTCTCCTTGCCCTCCTGTGGACACGCGAGGGAACAGCAGCAGGATGCTCCGGGCAGGATGCTCCGGGCTCTCACCCATCCCCTGCTCCACCAGTGACTTTGGAGCACTTTAAACACACCACAAATGCTCTGCCCTGCTCTGCTGCTGCCCTAGAGCAATATAAAACCCCAGAAAATAAAAATAAACCAACACCAGGGAGGAGAAGCTGAAAGGAATCCGGCGATGTGGGAGGAGATGAAACTCCAGGCTGGGAGTTAAAATGAACCCTGCTGACCCCAGGGCATCCAATAACTGGTTCACAGGATGGGTTGCATCTTTTGTCAGGGGAATTTCTTAGATTGTAATAATTGTTTTTATCATCTTAGTCATGTTTCCCCATCTAGTTTTGTGTACAGAGAAGCCCATAGGGGAGTAAGAAAGAAAAGGGGAGTTATAGCATCCGATACAGCTGGATCACACCTGTGTGTGTGGTGTCACGGACATCTTTTCATGGGAAATCTTTCCTTAGGGTTTTTTTCCTCCTGCGAAGCTGAGAGGCCTCAGGAACAAAATGTAAACAATGGTTATCTGCTGCTGTGGAATGCAACAGGTGCATCTGTGATTGGGCTCATGTGGTTGTTTGGAATTAATGGCCAATCACAGCCTAGCTGGCCTGGACACAGTGTCCGAGCCACAAACCTTCGTTATCATTCCTTCCTTTCTATTCTTTGCTTAGCTAGTCTTCTGAGAACTTTTTCTTCTATTCTTTTAGTATAGTTTTAATGTAATATATATCATAAAATAATAAATCACGCCTTCTGAAACACAGAGTCAAATCCTCGTCTCTTCCCTCATCCAAAGACCCCCGTGACCACCGTCACAGTGTGGAGCCCCCAAGGTGCTGCAGGGCTCCCTGAGGGCTGGGGGGAGCCAGGGGAGCTGGGCAGGGCAGGGTGGGAGGGGGTTACCTCCAGCTCCCTCAGCACCGGGTGGTCCTCGATGCCTGGGAACAGCACGCGCATGGCGTAGGTGCGGTAGTCCAGGTAGGGGATGCCCGAGCGGTCCAGGTCGCTGGTCAGCTCGTTGATGTCCGTCTGCAGCTCTGCAAAGGCTGTTCAGGGAGAGAACAGGGCAGGGCTCAGCTCCAGGGGGCTCTGGGCAGGGCTGGCTGGGTGCTCTCCCCATGGGCAAGGCAGCTCAGGGAGGGTTCAGGTCAGAAAAGACCCCTGAGATAATCAAATCCAACCTATGTCCAATCCCTGCGTTGCCAACAAGACCAGCCCCAACAAGCTCAGCAGCCCTGGAGGCTCCATCTCAGCAGCCCAGGGTGGCAGAGCTGGCTGTGCTCGGAGCAGAGACTGAGAACAAAGCTGTGGTTCATTTGTATGCAGTTCACACCTGTGCACACACACCTAAAACCCCTTTAAAGGCTGTGCAGAGAAACAAGGATCTGTTTTCATAACTTGCTGCCTCCCCTGTTTTCCTTTCTTCTTGTTTTCCTCCTCTATCAACAGTTGGCAAGATAATCAAATCTGATGCAGATCAGATCTGAGCTGCAGCAGGGGTCAGGAAGGGATTTATTTTCCCTCTCCTAACACGGTGTTGTACAGCTGGATGTGTCTCCTCCTGTTCCCTCTCCAAAGTGTGACATGCTGGCTCTGGAAGCCTCTGTACCCCAGCTGGGCTGTGCCAAGCTGAATCTGTGCCTTCTCCTGAATACATCTCAATTTTTGCCCTGTGCTTTCAAGGCTACCCTTGAAATCGGCTGAACAAATCCAATGCAGCTCTCTCTCTCCACTATGAAATGTGCAGTTATTAATTTTGTTTTGATTAAGCTCCTTCCTAGGTGGGAGGAGCAGGAAACAACAGCAGCACCCCCTAAAAATCCCCCTTCACCTGTGGGGTGAGGAGGCTCAGCTGCCTCCTTGCAAGGCACAGGACTCGCCCAGGTGGAGACTCTCAAGCAGCAGCTCTGGGTACTCCAAATAACACCCAAAATTCAGGCAGGGTGCCTAAGCAGGATCAGCTCTAATCCCATTCTCTGAACATCAGAGCCGTGTCTGCTGCTCACACACTGCGGGCTGCCACCCTCTCTTGGTGGGGCAGGAATGAAAACCTCCAAAAATCCCACAAAAAACACAAAAAACCCACAAAAACCACAAAAAAGAAACCACAAAATACCCCACCAAAAACCCACAAAAAACCACAAAAAACCACAAAAAACCACAAAAAGCTCACAAAAAACCCACAAAAACCCGACAACAAACCCACAGCAAACCCACAAAAAATCCACAAAAAATCCAAGGAAAAATCCCACAAAGCCCAAGGAGCTCCCACCCAGCTCCCAGGGGTACTGGGAGAACAGGGACCCCTCCCACAGATGTGCAGCCCCCAGGGCCCCCCAGCCCCGGCAGCACTGACCCTCCTTGCACTCCAGGGCCACCCGGGACTCCAGGTTGTCCATCTGCATCTGCAGCCTCTTGAGGGTGAGGTCGTTCTCGCGGGACTTGCGCTTGTAGGCGATGAGGACGATGATGACGATGATGAGGAGCAGGGAGCCGCCGGCCGCGATGCTGACGATGGCGGGCAGGGTCAGCAGGCTGTCCGACACGATGCTCACCGAGCCAGGGGAGAAGGTGACGCCACCAACACGCACCTGCAGGGCACAGAGCACACTGAGAGCAGCTCGGGCTGTGCCCCTGTGCCAAGGCCTGTCCTGCCCACCACAGGGCCCTGCAGGTCCCTGGGGAAGCACCGAGCAACCTCTGCACAGAACAGAAAACCCCACTTGCCTTCAAACACAGAGGGGGCTGCTTGTGAGAGCACAGGGAGGCTTCAAGTGATGATAAATGTGCCAGCCCTTCACTATCTGGGCTTTGTTCTTATTATCTGATGGCTCCATTTGACTTTCATTTTATAAGCTTTCAACTCCTTTTCGTAAGGCCTGGACGTTAACAAGACCCTGATCATTCCACTGACAAGAAACCAGAGTGACTGCAAGGGCAGAGCAGGGAAGGGAGCAGAGAGCCCCACGTGAGAGCAAACAGGCTGGAGTTGACACCAGGACAGGCTTTTCTTGGACGTGCCCTGGCCGCAGATGTGAGCAGCTCTCAGCCAGGTTAGGCTGCTGGGAGTCACACTGTGATAATCTGAATATGTTTTGGATGCTGAACTTCAAGGGAAATAAATCACAATTACAATCTCATTTGGGCTCTGCTCAGGCAGCTCAGCAGCTGGGGCTTGGTCTGCAGGAGCAGCAGAGGAAGCAGCAATGCCCAAACCCCGAGCACAGGGAGGCACTGAGGGTTATCCTGGATGAGGGGCTTGATCCAACCACTCCAGGGTTCAGATGTTCCTGGCTCCTGCTCTGGGAAAAGACAAAACCTTTCCATCCACTTGGCAGCTCAGGCCTGTCTCTGTGGCTGATTAACCCCTCTAGGAGGGAGAACACTGGGAATGCTCTCAACTTCATCCACAGCAAGGATGGCACCCAGTGCCAAAGGCACTGCCAGGAACATTTGTTCCTTCTAGAAGGCTCTGAGAGGCATTTTTCCTTCTAGAAGGGAGTGACTCTGAGGGAAGGACAAAGTCTCTCCATGCTAATCCACATCAATATTTTAAACTTCCAATCAGACACCCATGAAATGGAAAATCCTGCTGGGGATTGTGGATCCAAGAGTCAGGGAGCTGGAGAAGGAGGAGAAAGGTGGGGACGAGAGGAGAAGGGGATGCTGGAGAAGGATGAAGGGTGGGGTGGAGAGGGAAGGGGATGCTGAAGGAGGATGAAGGATGGGAAGGAGAGGGAAGGGGATGCTGGAGGAGGATGAGGGGTGATGAGGAGAGGGAAGGGGATGCTGCCAGGACATGCAGCCCCTCACCATCACTCTGTGCTGCCCGCTGAGGGTGGGGGGCTC